AGCAAGTCGAGCAGGGCAATTTTTCTCACCAAAATCTATTTTGCACATTTAAAAGTCTACTATTTGTCTGTGCATCAAGTATTGCTGCCATATCCGGTCAGGTGCTTTTGCTATATATCTAAAGACTCTTGACAAAATCCAAAGAAGAATCTGAAGCATTATCACTCTTGATCTGGTATCTGGGCTTCAGTCACATTTCCACTGCCTTAACGTAGCTTTTTTATAAACATTTTCACAGTAATTTTTCTGATGAACTTCCCTCATTGGTACCTTGACTTCACAAATTTAAATGCAGTACTAGATTGGCAGATAGATCTCATCATTTCACTGTTAAAATTTCTACTTCTAATCGTAAGTTTTTTATGTTAATAGCTTTTTCTCCTGCACTTCTTGCCTGTGGAACTCTCTTCTAGCTTCCTGCTTTCTTGTCAACTACAATCTTCAAAATTTTAAATGCAATGTCAATCTTGTTCTTTTATTGTCCTATTTTTCTTTCACTCTCACTAACCCCTTGCATCTTAGTGGCTTTTATTGCCTTACTTGGAGTGAAATGATTTAAAAAAAAAAAAAAAAATACAAGGTAAGCATTAAAGAAATAGAAACTGCCACCTAACATTTATCTGAATTAGATATTTTCTCATATTGCTGTAACAGAAAAGTTTTAACTGAGTAATAAATGAAAGTACAGTGGAAGAGAACTTACTTGCGGCCAGCCTCAAAGTTGGTCTTCAAGAAGTCATTAAAAGCTCGCATATGCTGCTCTTTGCTAAACAGTAAATGGTTGGCAATGTTCTGCATTATCTTACACATGAGAGTTAGACCTCGTTTTACTCTTGGTGTGGGTTCTTCATCAATGATTCCAGATTCAAAAGGAGACACTGAAAGCAGAAAATTTGTTTTACTCAAAAAAAGAATTAAAGACACTGAGAGCAAAAGTTAACAAAAAGATATTTATTGAATAAAATATTGGTTATCTCTATAAATTTAAACTTATGGCAGAGCCACTTAACACTTATGGATTAAAAAAACACTATTAACTAAATATTGCTAATTTCTCATTTCCAAATTAAAAGACAGTGCTTTTAAAATTTATAACATTACCACATATGAATTTTACCAGTAATTTATATAAATTACTTAAGAAGAAATAATTAACTTTTTAAAATCATCATTTGACATAGCAGATTTACAGCTAAAGGTCGGTTTACATGTTTGGTTCTCTAGTACTGACCTTCAAGGATTCACACCCAAAACTCTTGACAGTAGTAGGATGTTACTTTTAAAGAAAAACAAACAAAAAAAATAGCACTGCAAATTTACATTGAACAAAAATAGAATAAAAATGTATCCAGTGCATGTTAGTGTAGAAGAGGATAAAAGCACAACAGGGCAAATTTTACCAAACCACCCTCATCTCATTTCTTTTTGACAAAATATATTAAAGCTTGACGCACAAACTAGCAACACTACAAATAGTTCTCATGCCAGATTGTAATTTAATATTACATTAATTTTTAGTTATTCAGTTATCCATAAGCAAAATAAAAAACAATATTTATAAAGAGAATAAGATTTACATGATCATTGCAAACTAAGATTAATAAACTCATTTTAACTACAGTTAATGAAAATTTCCAACTTAAGTTTAATTTCAGAAGTACTAGTTTAAATTAGGACCTAGAGATTTAATATTACTAATTTATCAAATGAAAAATAGTGAGCAGTCTTGATATGAAATACTTACTAACTGTGTTTTAATGATATTGTTTCAAAACTTCAAAATTCACAATACTAAAACTATGTAATATTAACCATGCAAGAGCTGTTTTAGGGATGTAAATGATGCTAAACTGAAAAACGAAGTAAAAATAAAATTTAATATATTAAAGTAAACCTACAAGAAAAAAAAAATCTTGAAAATTATTAAAAAGTAAAGAATTCATTGCTTAATATCTCAGGTTTTGAATTAAAATTTACTAGGTACATGAAGTTTTTGAAATTGATTGGATCAAATATAGTTACCTATCTGATCTGCTATTAAAAGAGAAAGTAAAATGTCACAATTATATTTATCATAAAAACTTCACTTTTCATAATGTAATTTTTATAAGCTACACATAAATATATGAATAAACACATGTGCTTCCATTTGTAATGAATCATCACCACAAAATATTTTTTATGTAAAATATTTTTAATCATTACTGGACATTAAAGTTTTAAAATAAAATTAAGTAAAATAGAGCAGTTTTTCCATCAGATGCTATTTCATCAAGATAAAATAACATTAGAAAAGTTACTTTCAAAAAAAAAACATTATTAATCATCTAAATCAATAAACTAAATGAAATAATTTTTGACATTCAGATTTAAACAAATATTTTGTGAAAAATATACATCTTAATGTTTAATGCATTACATTTTGAACTATAAGATTAAATTTAACAAATTTGTTTTAAGTAAAGCACAATGAACAAATAGAATATTATAGGAATGAAAAGACTCTTTTAGTCATTGTACTTCTCCTTTTCCCCCAAGAGGTAAACTGTTATACTGGACATTTAGGATGTCACATGTTCAAAACAGATTAATGCAAAATCGTTCTCTAACCTGACATAACCAGAGATTTATTTTTCTTAAACTGCATGCTAAAAAAGCTTCAAATTTAAGAATGGCAAATTACTGATTTATATCTACAAGTATAATACAAATTATTATAAAAAAAAACACAGCTAATCATAGCAATTTATTCTTATCAAGTTATTATATATATATATATATATATATATATATATATATATATATATATATATATATATATATATAAAAAAGTCAACTTCAAGAAACCCCTGCATAAAATATTATCCATTTAGAACAGTTTTTGAAATAAATTCAACTTCTAACAAAAAAAAAAAAATGTGCTATCATTCAACTATAAAAATAAAAAAAAAACATTTGAATAAATGCTGCTAATGTTTCCTATTTTTATTGCATATTAACTGAAGATATTATTACATAATACTTTTATATATAAACAATACTAGTTCTATTTATACCCTTTTAATATGCATAAATATAGTGTTATGAATGCCATTAGAGCTTAACTGAGGAATATTGTTTCAGAAAATAATCATGTGTGATCATGATGCATTACTATCATAGAATAAGCTAATCATGTTAGCTTTAAAAATATAAATCAGGTTAAATTTCTGCTCACAATGATTTTAATCATTTTCTAATGCAAGTGTTTTAACTGAGGTGGATCCTACTGAGCTTAGTAAGAACAAGTTTACTATTGAAATCAGAGATCAAAATTTTTAATCAATTATGAATTATAATTAATGGTCAATATAGTGATAAAAACAGAGACTACTGTAAATGCAGATGAAAATACCAAAATAAAATGTATGTTTTTTACCCTTCCATTTTTAAACAAACAAAATCTACCATTGGTTTTAATACCATAATGGGAATGATTGCAAAACACTTTCCCCTCTCCAATTTATAAGCAAATAACCATACAAATGCATGCTGGGATTTCTTCTTAATCAATAAGATAGTCCTAGTCTCTCTTATGTTGGAGTCAGAATGCTTTGATTTTTTTTTTATCTGAATTTGCTCTTGTGTGCCAAGACTAATTCTTAGTTTGTGAACTTTTTGCCATACTACTGTTGCTTTGCCTTATTACTCTTAATATGTCTTGCATATATTGATTGCTTGCTTTGTATTATTTTTGCCTTGTTCTTTTCTTTTTCTTGTACAGTTCTGCCATTTACATTTAACCATGACTGCTTACAGCTTAGCAGACTACATGAACAATGATGAGTCTGTCAACATATATAATCCAGAGCATCTGCATTTGAAAATAATTGAAACAGTAAAACCCATTTGGTGGTATATGTTTACAACTAAATCTTTGCAAATCAATTCAAAATGTTTTGTAATTTTAAACTGAACATATGTAAATGGATTTGTAATTTCACAAATGTAACAAAGGAAAAACAAAAGGTATGCTTTCACAATGGCATTATGTACTACAGAAAGTCTGTAACCAGTCACTGTAAAATTTTACTATAGTTTATTTATCACAGTTGTACTAATCTGAGAAGTTTTAGGTTCTTTGCTATTTAAAACCAAAATTCCTTGTGATAAAATCATAGGCAATATGAATGTGATCTTGATAAACACACGAAAACAATGAGCTCACTGCTATGGTAAGTTCATTATTACAGTTTCAGCTTGTATTTCATTCACAAAATTTTGTGAAACAAAAATATCAACAATGAAATTTAAATAGTCATAGTTAATTACAATATTAAACAAATTATGCTGTTATAAAAATTCTTTGAAAAAGACACATTCCTTCAAGATTCAAAGAGATAAGTATACGATATATGCAAATGAAAAAACCCACCTCAGTTATACAAAGATCAATTATACAGATAAATAATGGACAAGTACTAAATGAATTTTTTCCAGTTAAGGTTAATCTGAATTATAAATATCCATCAGGAATACCTTTGTATATTTTTAGGAATAGTAGCATTTATGGAGAAATATCTGTTGAAATGACAAATACAAAATTAACTGTGATGTTAATAATGCAGGGTAAGTCTCTGTGGCCAGGGGTAGATAAGAGATATAGAACAAACATTGTCAGCTGAGGAAAATAGCCAAGCTACACTGAATCACCACGCATAACAAAAGCAGAAGATAGCAAGCAAGGAAACATTTTTTTTTAAATTATATAACTTGATAAAGAGATGACCATAAGATAAAGGTTAACTCGGTAATTCATTCTGACTAACATTCCTATTGTTGATGTTATTACTATGTTTGGAAACATATTCTAAATTTATTCAGTTATTAAACACACACTAAAGTCAACATCAAACAGCGATAAGGTTTCATGCTTGAACGCAATCTTTAGGCCATCAAGATTGCATTCGGTGTTGACCTCAGTGTCCACTTTTATATTTACATATGCTCTATTTCTGATATTGAGCACTTTTAGCCATAAATATAGCATACCTTAAAACTATATATATATATATATATATATATATATATATATATGTGTGTGTGTGAATGAATACAAAATTTACTGTTGGCTGGGGTAATCCCAGGCCAAACACATAAATGTAAGTAGAGTCCTCAATACCCTATTCTGAAAGCAGAATATGTAGAGCAAATTGAAATTATAAAATGTGAAAATGTATACCCTTAATCTCTACCTAGTTTTCTACCATTAGGTGCAATCAGGTGGTGGAGTAAACTACATATGGCCTGAAGATTGCATTCAAGCATGAAACACTTACTGCCTGGTGTTGACTTCAGAATCTACTCTTTTATATATCTCCATCCTAAATTGGATTTCCAAATTATAGGTCAAGCTTTGGCTTTCAGTTAAAAAATTATTAATCGAAGATATACTTTGTATATAGGCCAATCCCAGATTTTTTAAAATAATGAAACACCAAAGCACCATACATTTTCTACTACAATGAGGCAAGAGGAGTTTTAGCTTAGAAACTGCCTAATATTCATAGCTGGTAAAAGGCCATGTATATGCAAGCAATTATCATAATTGATGATTATAATATGGGGTGTGAAAGTATTAAAAAGATTTTAATTATTTTCACTAGATTTATGACTAAGTAATGACATCAGTTTTTTGATTTGCAAACAAAATTGATTAACTGTCTTTGAAAGACAAGATAATAACTGGACTTTATTATACTATTTTGATAAAATAGTTGCTGAGAACATCTCAGAAAGTTCATTTATTTAAATATTGAGAAGTTTAACTTCTAAGCAAATATCTTTTCTTTTTTTTTCAATGAGATTCAGCTTCTGTAACTGCCATAACTATTCCTTTAAAAGAATCTGCTTTATATAATAAACTTTTACAAGAAATCTTATCTTTAAAAGAGAATGGAAATGGATAATTTGTCATTTGCACTATATTCTAATGTAAAAGATAAAGTTCACATTCAAAGAAACAAATCTAATTTTTACAAATAATTGTTATGAATATAACTGAGCAGAGATTTTATTCACTGAAACATTATGCACTTAAACATTTGTAAGTTATTTGAAATGATCACTTTCTACAAAATAAAGATGCTAACCAGAAATAATTACCAAGTTGCTATAATATTTCATTTTGTAAAAATAGAAACTTAAAATTTTACCTTTTTTTTTTTTTTAATATTTACCTTTGTCAGAATTTTTGCACAATAAATAATTGCTACACTATTTACATTATTCAGACTATTGTCCTCATCTTTGTTGCCATATTTATCACAACGTTTTGGCCATTGTACACATCAGCCTTCTTCAGGTGGTTGGAATGTCAAACTGAACCCTTTATTTTGCTCACTGGAGTAGGCTGTTCTAGTTCCACATGCCATGTCTAATGGATGCCAGTGATCAGTTATCTCCTGTTAATTCACCTTTCCAAGTTCTCCACTGCCTTATCCAGGTATTGATATGTGGATGACACCTTCATACCCTGGCCACACCAGGAAAATGTCCAGGTTCTACTGGACCATGTGAATTCAATAAAACCTTCGATACACTTCACAATGGAGAAAGAGAATAACAACACACTCCCATTCCTGGATGTTCTAATATCTCAAACAGAGCATGGGTTCAAGACATCTGTATACTGCAAACCAACATAGACCGAACAGTACCTCAATTTCAACTCCCACCATCCATATAGCGTAAAGAAAAGGATCGCCCACTGTTTACAACACCAAACAAAAGTCATAAGTGGTGACCCAGAGACATTAGATAAAGAATTGGTCAGTATAAACAGTACCCTACAATGTAACAACTACCCTGGGTACATGGCAGCAGCCCCAATAAACTGGGATAGACAGGTACAAGAGGAGGACAACAACACTCAGAAAACAGTCTGCCTGCCTTATGTGAAGGGGTTATTGGAGAAAATACAAAGGATATATGGTCCATGAACATCAGGACAACCTTCAAAAGCTGGAGGACACTTCACAGATACCTCTCCTGAGTAAGACCCCCTATAGAGAGAACATGACTAAAGACTGTGTGTACGCCATCCTGTGCAGCTGTGGAAAGAAATATAAAAGGGAGACAGGCTGCCCCCTTAAGGTAAGGCTTCAAGAACACCAAAAAGCTGTAACATGAGGGGAAATGGAAAAATCAGGCGTGGCTGACTGCATATGGAGAGAAAAGGGAGATCACCGCCCTCTGTGAGATCAGGTTGAAATCAAAGAACATCATTGGAAAATTCATAAACTTAAGGACTCCAGTACATATTCTAGGCCACAAAAATCTCCTGAGTCGACCAAGCATAGAAATGAATACAATATGGGAACCAGTAATAAGGAGTGCCAGAGAAAAGCAATAATGACAATGAAAATTGCATATGAGCTCTGGTAAAAAACATGCCATGATAACAGCAAAAATTGCAATATGAGCACTGGTAAAAATGGTTGCTGAAGACATTAAGTTTATAAGTCCCAAAAATTCATACACAGACAATAAAGGTGTTGGTCAGATCCAGTGACAGGACCCAAAGAGTTGTGAGTTCAATACCTGATTAAGGCAGTGGAGAACTTGGAGAGGTGAATTAACAGGTGATAACTGACATCCATTAGATATGGCATGTGGAACTAGAACAATCTACCCCAACAAGCAAAATAAAGGGTTCAGTTCGACATTCCACCTAAAAAAGGACGAAGCATACAATGGCTGAAACGTTATGATAAATATGGCAACAAAGATGAGGACAGTAGTCCGAATAATGTAAATAGTGTACATAATATCTCATCTCAGAAATATAGACAAATGATTGCTAATTTTGAACTGTCAGGACACAGATTCATATAAAAGCTTACGCTGGTTAATTTATAACCATTTTCACAAAACATTACTATTCCTTGCAGGAGAAAGTCAAGTCAATAAACATTTTATAATACAAAAAATGTTTTTCAAAATATTGGTCCAGCACAATGCCTTAAAAGTTAAGAAAGAATTGTAATTATCAAGAAAATCTGGCATTTTCAGTGAAAATTGTTAGACTGGTTATATAATTTTCCAACTGCTGAAACGACAAAAGGACTGAGTGCTGGTTCTACGCGTTTGCAGATGAATTAACAAAAATATATACAGCACAGTTTCAACTGCAAAACTTGTAAAAATTGTAACTGATGAACAGCAAATGTTTTTCTTTAGTTATTCTTAACTAATCTGTACACACAAAATACTCAAAATTTCAATGACTTACTTTAAAAAAAAGGATATGTTAACTCATAGCCCCAATACTAAAATTAAGTCAAATTAAAATTTTAGCTTTACCATAAATTTTCATGGAAAAGAATAGATTTTGCAGAAAAGAACAAAGCTAGAGAAAAGAAATATGAAAACAAATATCTCATCAATCAGCAACATTTTAAAATTTGAACTTCTAGTTGTAAATATTTTTGTCAAAATGCACCCTACATTTTTATATTAATGAATTTTAATGCTAAATATTTAAAAAAAAATATATTTAAAAAAAATGTATTTAAAAATAGTAGGTTTGTTTAACTTGAAGCATATTTCAAATGATTATGGTATTAACGAAGAGATGTATACTTTGTTGTATTAAAAAAGTATAAAACAAACCATTTTGTAAAAAACTGTTTATATACATAAAAAATTGCCAAATAGCAATATGTACACTCAAAGTACAAGCATATATAAAAAAGTGCATATTATTGTTGTTTACTAAGCTTAGCTGATCCAACATTATACAGCATGTTTTCAGCCAATCCATTTTTCAGCTTTTGTCAGAGGACAAAGGAAACCTCCTCCCCCTGGAAACAACCAAACTGGTGATAGAAATTGTTCATTAATGTACCAACAAGCTCAGTCTATTTCTAAATCATCAAGTACTCAAGTGATTCCAAATTATACCAAACAAGAAGAGCCCCATAGCATCACCCTTGCTAAGCAATGTTGAAATCTCTGCATCTTATCAACAGACAAACATACTGCCTCTTTCAGTTTCCTCAGTATCTAATGATGCTCTCTGGACCTTATTTCAGAGAGGATAGTATGAACCCTTCTTTTGCATTTCTACTCCTTATAAATCTTACCAGAAATGCAACAATTTTTGTCACCAGTTTTGTTTTCTCTGAATTTTTTTTTCTTATAGATTACAGCTGACATAGGCTGAAGAATATATTGTCTGAAATGTCGTTTTTGCAATTATACAAAGAGGTTTAATCATTTGAATAATATTGGATATGTTGTTAATGACTCTTTAAAGTTACAGACTATGTGCTTAGCTTAGTCAAAGCCACAAAGGGACATTCAGTGAGCACTGAACTCACTACACTAGTAATTTGGTCTGCGAGATAAGCTAACTAACTACTGTACTAAAGCAAGTAATGAAAAATGCAAATTATTGAATTTTCCATATTTCTACACTATTATAAAAGCCTTTTATAGAATTTGTTGTGCTCCTTTGGTGTCATAATCAGAAGTGAATTCTAAAATTTTATAGCTGCAAGCAATGAGCATGACAGTCTTCAGCTAATTATTTTAAATATTTGCTACATCTGCTAAGAGCACTTGTACTAAAAATAACACATAACTTTGTTAAATTACAAAATTCAAAGTCCTTATATCGAACTATATTTTGAAGTTTTCTATAACACTGAAAACTTAAGAACGTGATCTGAAGGAAAGTAAAACTCTTTCACAATATTATGTAAATATGCAAAAATAAAATGTATTAGATTCATACTATCATCCTTTTATGAAGGTCATCAGTTAGTGATGTTGAAAATGTATCAGATTAGATTTTTAATAAATATCTTCTCTCAATTATGTTATAGAACAGATTACAAATTGTGATACTATAAATGAAGATATAATTTACCCACCACCATCCCTGCCAAATAATGTCACATCTACTATTAAAAATTAGAGTAACAATTACCTATAAAAGAAGAGTTACAGTGATACAAAACAGTGGTAATGCAGCAGTGTTTACCTATTGCTGGGTTGATGAAGCGTAAAAAAATCACAGTGCCGATCACGGTCCATAGAGCCTCAAATGTGCTTTGCTGAAAGCGCTGGCCTACCACTTGGGACAGACAGTGGCACATACTTCGCAGTTTGGCTGGGAACCTGTGGACGGAGCAATAGCAGGTGGTGGACGAGGAAAAGGAGCAGGACAACAACAATAAGTGACACACCAGCAACCAAACAAACAGCAGGAAAATTCTCAAATTTAAAGGGTCATGCAAAAACAACAAAAACAAAAAGAGGAAAAGGAGAAATGAAAATAAATATAAAGATCTAAATTAAAAACAGGTTAAAAAAATAAAAAAAAAAATAATGAACTGCCAAGTAACATCCAACAATCTATACCACTGGATGTTTTAGGAGACAGTAATAACATACATAATATATTTTTAGGTAGAGACATTGATTCCAACAATAATTTATAACTGATATTAATTATTTTTTAGTTTTTTTCAACAAAAAAAGTACTTTTTATTTGATTTTGTCATGATTGTTGTTTTTAAAACTTACATTTTAACCAAAGTAAAACATGATCAAATATTTTTTGTTCTAATTTTATGAACTTTTGAAACTTCTTGTTTCTCTCTTAAATTAAGGTACAGATATACTTGATTTCTTGCACATACACATTTGCTACTACTTTCATGAAAAACCTGATGCCCCCCCCTCACTTCAGAATATAACTGTCACCTAATTCAACCAGGGTGTGTTATAGATAATGGAAGCTATATAATTAAAACTTTAAAAAGAAAAAAAAAAAAAAAAAAGAAAAAAAAGAAAAATTCAATTAACAACACAACAGTATGTAAAACTGGACACCGAGCTGGTAACCAGGAAGTAGTGCAGCAGCAGCAACAACAACAGTCTGAATAACAGCAGCAGCAGCATTGGCCAGTAGAAGAAACAGAACCAGGAGGTTTGTGTATCACAGTGACTGACAACAGCAACAATAACAATACCACTAGGGCCAGGGAACCAGGACAGTAGTAGTAGTAGTAGTAGTAGTAGTAGTAGTATGGTGGTTGTGATGGACAGTGTTGGTGCTCAGAGTCACAGGGGAGATCACGACAGAATGTTACCTAGTGCTGGATTGAAAAAGCGCAGGAAGATGACTGTGCCAGTGGCCAAGATGCTGTCCAGAGGAAAACGGAGACTGATGGCGCAGTGGAGACAGTTGCACATAGTGCACAGCTTAGGGGGAAATCTGAGAGAGAAGACAGGGGACATGAGAAAAATCAAAGTACAACTGTCATTATCTGAAAGAAAAACAAGCCACAATATAGCCATTTGTTGGCATACACAAAAAAATTCATCCACTGACCTCTATCTGAAATAGAATAAAAATATGAGGAATATGGCGGGAGAGTGCTTAGATATGTATATATGCCATAATACAGCATTGGTAAAATAGTCCCTTTACTCAATAAGAAAATCAAATTAGAATCAGTTTCAATTTTTTTCTACAAATATAGATCTTTAAATACAAAATGAAGCATTTTATGTAAATAAAAAAAAAAATCTCCACATCGAGGAGAATGATAAAATCCTGATAGATACCAACAAAATGAAGGAAAAAAAAAAGGAATAAAATTCACAAAAAAGATTAAAGATTTCATTAATTGATTTGTTGCTGTTAATTTTTGACAGCATGTAAAAGACAATATTAAAGAAAAATCTTAAGTTGGGTGCTAAATACAATATATGCCAAAATCTAGTTTCTCTTGAGACATTAGGCATTCACTGATATTGTTTGCAAGTGCATAATAACTTTAACATGTCTTATATACAAAGCTAAGTTAACTTACAAATTTATTGCCTATTAAAAATATAAATTTCTATTATGTAAAAATGAACTTTTGTAACTGCAAACCATATATTTGGTAAGTAATAGTTTAAAGAAAAAGTAAGTCTGTATCTCCAAAAGTGCATTTCAAGACAAACAAAAAAAATGTATTAAGTGTGTGTATGTGAAAGAGAGTCAGAGACTGACAATAATGTATAGAATTTGTTTTATACTAGAAATAATTTTAAAGCACAAAATGAATAAGAAAACTTACCTAGAAGCAGATCCAACAATGGCATTGAATACCTTCTGGGTTATATTTATTAAATCCTTTTTGTTTTCTTCAATATTCTCAGTTGGCTCAAGTCTACACAAAAATAAAAATGCATTGCTGCCTTTGAACAAGTTACAAAAGTTACCATCAACAATGAAAAAATTAATTTACAATCACTAATATTGTAATTTACTAGTTTCTAATAAAAGTTCAAAACAAATTTTTGTAGGAGTTTTAAGAATTTTCATTTGGATTCCTAAATATGCTAATCTGATATTTAGAACACAAATTTATAAACTGAAAAAAAAAAAAAAGCTTCTTATGTCTTCATTGATATATACAAACTCAACTGCTGTTAAATAAGTGTTAGAGATCTATTTTATATCAAAGATATATGCTCTAATTATGTCAAAATCACATATTTTACAATGAAATCATGTTGATTATGCTATTGTTAAACTACATGCTTTCTGATATTTGGGGAAAATCTTATTTTTCCAAAGTACTATTTACCTTGAAGGGTCAATTTCATATGACAAATTAGGATTTTGTCGTTCCATATCCATCATTTCTCGAATGAGGGGGTTAAGCAACTCGCGAAGATAGTTCTGTCCATAAAAGCGGAAACAGTATGCCATGATCTTGCTTGCAAGGCTGTTTCCTCTGAACAGAGTTTGCATACAGTCAGCAATTTCCACCTGAAACATTAGAAATTAGAAACATCTTCCAACATAACATCCTTTCTAAATATCAAAAACTCCAGGAAAATAATAGATAATATTTTCTCACCTTTCAACCCAAAAGAGAGTTCTTGAAAATTAACATAATCAAAATTACACTATCAATTCAGCTTTTCAATATAAGATTAGTTAGTGTAATTTAAATACATTAATTAATATTTTTTAGTTTTATAAACATTTAGTGTAAAGATTTAAATTGATTTACTTCTTCAAATGTTCTTAAAACTGCTATTTTAAAAAATTAATATATACCTTAGTTTTATATAAGGCAGTGGCCCTGACAGAGTCATATTAGTGCATGAATTATTGTTTGATATCTGGAGTTACTGAGAGACTTGATAACCCTGAGTGAAGGAATACAAATTTCAAATGGAAGGGTTAATCAGGTTGGAACATGATGAAAAAGTTTGGTTTAAAAATATTAATTTTAACTTGTAAAATACTTATATGAGGAAGGCATTTGGAGGATTTGAACCTAAACCAAGTAAGGTTCAGTAAAATCCAGTATAACTGAAATTCCCTGCCTAGCTCCGAAGTCATGAAGATGTGATGTTTGTCAAAATTCTGCAAAATCCAGACAGAATTAGAAAATGAAGCTTGGATCATATGCAACTTTACTCAGTTCGTCCTTGGCACCCAAAGACAACAGTCATCCATTTTCATCCAAATTCTAGCAGCAGCAGCAAAATTGTCAACACAGCCACATTTCACCTGTTAGATATGTCTTAATGCATCAAGGGAAGAAAAGAAGTTATGAAGTCAAACTGCATGTGTGTGATGGTTGCAACTTTTACATTTTTCCATCATTAATAAATTGTTGATAGCATTATCAACAGTTTGCTCTTTCTGCTATAATTTCCTGCCTTTCAGGAAGGTTGCCAGAATTAAGAAAGTCACTAGGATTGAAAAATCACCTGAATCACAAACAAAAAAAATCCACAGCCTGTTGGAAAGCATAAGACACGTTGCCTAGTAGAAAAGGAAAATTTCCACTACACAACACAGGTCCAGTGAAGGAGATGAACAATGGAAATAGCCATGCCCAATTCACACATCCTTCACTGGAATGTAATTGTAATTACTACTTAAAGTTTAAATATACAGTGACCAAACCCCTCAAGTATTGTATACCCAAACTTGCTATAAAATAAACAGCTCAAAACAATCATTGTTTACCAGGTTTAAAGTCTATTTTAATTTTTTTTTTTAAATTAAAAATTTTAAAAAATGAAAAGAATTAAATTTTAAATTTTGAATAAACAATTAAAACTTTAATTCTTTAAACCTACTCAACCCAGAAACTCTTATAAAACCTACATTATAATTTATGTAAATTAGACCATTTCAGTATGGAAAATACTTACTCTAATTTCATGTTACCTTTCTGATGTTAACAGAATATACATTTTATCAAAATGTGATCTACTCACTGTTAAAATTCCATTTTTCTTATTTTCAATACTACAAACATTAACACATCTTACCTCCTTGGAGAACATGTTCCACAAAAGTTGATACAGAAGATGTTTAGCATCAAACAGAGTGACAAATACTCTAGCCAGCTCATCCTAAAATATTAAACACAAATCAGTTAATGTCAATCAATGAATATAAAACTAACACAGGATAAATCCTTCTGTGTGAAAGATTTTTAGAAAATATGAAATTAAAAGAATGATCATCAATCATTATTATCATCATTAAATTATTTTTATTCTATCTAAACAAGTATCATGAAAATTGGTAGATTTATAAAGTTCAAATGATAACTGTTATAAAGATCTTTTATGTCAATGAAATTAAAGCTTAAGTAGGATTCTAAAATGCGACAGGTTTTATATGAATCAATATGGCAACTGAAAATGAAATCAGAATGCAAACAATGAGACTACAAAAATGAAAAGCCAGTTAAAACAATAAAAATGTTACTAAGTTAAAAATAAAGTTGAAAAATTTTTCAAATAGTTACATTTACTGAAGATCAAACTTGTTTTGCAAATAGATGACTTAGAATACTGCTCAGAGACATAAAGAAAAATTTGGCATGACATGCCAAGATTTTCTTCATTCACTTGTTATAATTGTATGCATAAATATCTAATTAGAAACCTATTGATATCTCCCAGACAACAAAAGTTTTTAAAAAAAAGTAATAATAAATTTTATAATAAAAAAAAAAAAAAAAAAAAAGAAAGAAAGAAAGCAAGCATACATGTGAAATTTTAAAATGTAATTTGAAAAGTGCATTCCTACCATTTGTGTCCTTGATATGACGCTGGCCAGTGCCATGGCAATAGGGAGATCCCCCTTGTCTCCTATCATGGTGACCAATTCCACCAATCGCTCAAACCTATCAGCTAATGCTGTTTCAGCAAGTGTCTCAAACTCTGTTCCCTGTTGTAAAATTTTTGTCAATACTTCCATGAAAGCTGCTCGAGTCTGAGGATCTTTGTGGTATCCCAAAGCTATAAAGGATATTAAGATTAGCCATTACAAATACTAAATACAGTAAATAACAATTTTGCAAACAAGTTCACTCATATTCATTTTCCACAATTTACATTCACTTATCAAGTAGTTAAAAATTTAATAATTAAGTGCAACTTAATTCTTCAAATGGATAATTTGAAAAAATGCACAAAAAGTAAAAGAAGAAATGAGAAAAAAATTGGTATTAAAAAAGACTCTTAAAAATTAATACTGAAATATAAAAAAAAAACTTTACCAATGGAATTCATGAGGCCACTCTCTATGTTAGCATTGAGCAGGTTAGACATGGCTTGAACAGTGCAATGTCGGAGGGCACTCAGATTAGACATGCTCCGTTTGCGGTTTGGATCCATGGCCTTGTCCTGCTCTTCTTCTGAACAGTCGTTCAGCAAATTCATAAATAAAGTTAAATACCTGAAGAAAAAAAAAAAATTTAAATATACAAACACAAAGTACATCAATTATTGAGTAAAAACTTGACAATAAATTTTGCATTTTCAATTTTCAAACTAGGATATATTTAAAAAATATACAAAGAAAAATATGACAAGTTACTAAAGAATCACACTGAATAAATAAAAATCTTTCCAATGCATCATGAATTATTAAAACAAACTATATAGCTTATAAATAAATATGCTTTACTATTCAAACTTATAAATGGCATTTAATTACAATTTTTTTTTTCTTAAGATAAATCATTTAAAGGAATTTTAAGTGTAGATTAAATAAAGTTTGTGTTGAGAAATGCTCACTTTAAGAACAGTTGGGACTTGGCTTCCATTAGATCTCCACGGTCACTCTCTTCTGGCTGCAGAGGTAGGCCAGCCAACAAAGCAGCAACAGCTTCCATACTGGCCTGATCTAGATCTCTGTTCATATAAAATAAAAAAAAAATAAAAAAAAAAATTAAAAAATCACAATTAATGACTTTACATCTCATCAATATAGAATTAATTTGTAGCTAATTGAAACCATCTAGACTTAGAACTTACCTAGACATGCCACAGATATCTCCTTGGATGTTAACTTGATGAGAGTTTCCCATGATCCAATCAGTCAGGTATTCAACCAATTTGTTACGGAATTTCATTTCTTGACGGAAAGTCAGTTCATCTCGTCTAGACATCATCTATTTAAAAAGTTTAATATTAATTAAAAGAATTTACAAAATAAATACACTCAGTGGTAACAATATATTTTATATAATGATTAAAAATATTGAAAACTTGGAAAAGAATTCATGCAGAATCTAAATCAGTAAAAACATTATCAGTATTATGTAAAAGTTCAGAAATTAGATGTAGCCTAGATAGAATGTGAAGCAGTCTTCAAGTTTTTTTTAATCAATTCACCCTGTGCAAGGCAATAAAGCTACTAAGATGCAAGGGTTACTGAATGCATAAGTATATAAGAAAAATATTATTAAGGAGAGAGAACAATAAAAGAACAGGAATTAAGAAGACTGAAGATAACAAATTATATTGCATTTAAATTTTTGAAGATCAAATTTGACTGGAAAGCAAGAAGCTGGAAGAGCATTCCATAAGCGAGAAATGCGAGAGAGGAAAGTTATTTTTAAGCTGATTTAATCATTTGAAAATTATCTAAAAAGAAAATCATCCCATCTATATTGGAGATATATTGCTTCAGAAAAAGTTTAACATTCTTCCCAATACAATATATCTAAGAATGATGAATTTTTAAAAACCTTTTATAACATTTGAAAGAAATGTACCTTTCATATAAACTAATTTTGGATTGACTTTCAATACAAATCCAGAAAAAAAAAAGACATTTGGAAAATCATTATGCAAAAGTGATTAAAAAATCAAGTTTACTATTATTAAATTATTTTTTTTAAAATTGATAAATTCAGCACATAATGTCATGTAAAGTTTTAAATTTATATTCCGGATATTAAAAACAAGTTACAAGTTCTACTCAAAATAACAGCTCTTCATATAAACAAAAAAGCATATTTGATTTGAAATCATTTACATTTATTTTTGAAAAAATATTGAAAATAATCCCTTGTAGCTATTAGCTATAAAATAGGAAAAGTAAAATTATAAGGTTTGTATCATAATTGTAATTATAACAACTCATTTAGGATAGAAAAATCTCAAAAATCATTTTGCTGTTGTCTTTTTTTGTTTTTATAAAAGGTATTAACAAAGTCAAAGCAGTTCAAAGCATCTTGGTAGTCATTTATTTCAGAAAAAAATCATTTGAAAATATACTATTAAAAAACATTGCTTACTTCCCTTTAATCCTGTGCTCTAAAGGCTAAGGTGGTTACTGCTTTCAGAACAGAAAATAGCTTTATTTAAATAATTAAGCAATTTAATTCTAAAAGTCGTCAACAAAACAATCAATTATTTATAAAGATCATAAAAGACCAGATTAGAAATTAATAACAAAATACAGCTATTTTTAAAAAATTGATTTTTAAAGTTGAATATCTAAACAAGTTATCTGAATTAAGCAATATTACTTAATGGAAATAACTAAGCAAAGTTGATCAGGATACAAGGCATACTTTGAGATAGAAGTGATAAAACAGTATTTATTTGATATCACAGTTTATCATAATTTAGGTGTGTACACACACACACACACACACACACACAACTAGCTTTATATAATATCTATTTAATTTTAAGCACTTTCAGTAAACCCCATTTATATAATAGGAATTACTTTACCCTCTTGACAGAAAAAGAAACTTCCCAACTGGGTTAATAATTCTTAGTGTAGCAATATGAGTCAGCTGAGGTTTTGTTAAATTGAATAACAGCAGGACCTATCGCCCAACTCGGCACAGAACATTTACTTTTGACCAATAGTTATCAATAAGTGAAGTCAACTTCAAAGTACAAGAGCAAGAGGCTCAGACTGAGAGAAAGTCACAGAAGGAACATTAATTATTTTTTTAGATGAAGATGACAAGACAAAGAAAACTGTTGTCTTTAAAACTGACCACCAGCAAAAGGGCAAAGTGCCTTGCAGAATGGACATATGGCCACTGAACTGTGCACCCCCCCTCACTTACACCACATCTCTACTTCGCTTGCTTATAGCAGTAGGTTACTATTCCATCTGGTTTACTGCTAGAAATTGTTTTGTTCTTCACTTGTGGATAGTGATCTGGCTGAAGGGTAATTTTTAAGCCACAAACATTTGACTGAAAGAAACTGCACTTGGTCAATGAACCTGGTGTCTGGTCTGAGCTGCAATGTAACATTAGCAACTGGGGACAACTTCAACAAATTAAAACATACAACAGAAGAAATATGCAAGAAAATTAACAATAAAAGAAAGTTTAGATACTAACAGCTGATGCAAAATAACCATGAAGGCAAAAGTGCAAGTGAACCTCATACAGAAATTGAAAAAAGGAGGACAATTTTCATTAAAGCAATTTATATTAGATATTACTGGATTTATATATTTTCTACTAATTTCTCATTTAAAGAATAGTCACAAACATTAGAAATTAGTTATTTAGTGCTACAGAAGTGAAGCAGATATTCTATATTTTATCTGTTAAGAGACAAATGCCATGAATTCAAACATTGAAAATAGGAATATAAAGTGTTTAAATTGCATTTTGTGCCCATTGTCTTACAAATCATCCTGTACAGAAGATGAATTCTGTTTGAGCAAACTGAAGAAAAACAAACATTTGAAATAAATTTGTTGCAAATAAAATCTTAAACTAAATAAATTCTAATATGAAGAAATTGCATTGATTTCATTTGTTATCGATAACTATTTATGTTGGAATATAAACATATGTATTCATAGATAATACATACATTTCTGGTGGAGTACTAATACTTGATAACATATAAGGTGTTACCCTACATAATGTATGCATAAACTATATTGAAATGAAATCTAGCATTAATTTGCTGCTATCAACATGAATCCAAGGAGATATAGAAATGTTCTTGGTTTGGCCCACTTCCTAATATTTGACCAAATGACCACACATTAGAATTATTTTATAATCCATTTTGGTCAAGCCAAGGACTTCTCCATACCTTGTATTACAATTGATAACATCGCAGATACTAAACATTGGTGCTTCATTTATTGTGTCATTAAGTCTAACAACGGAACTTAGCAGATCCAGCCTACTGACAGTGATGAAAACAAATACAAGTCATGGGAAGTTAAATTCTTGCGTTTTATGCAACTTCAGTTATAACTTTTGTTATATTACCAATACAAGATTGCCTATAAGTTGAAAATGACAGTGAAACAGGTGCTAAAGCTTTTGCAGTGCTGTTTTGCAGAGTCTAAACAAAAGGAATCTTTCCTTGACACAAAAGACAATGGTAGAAAGGCATTGGAAATATTCAGAGAGTATTTATGCAGATGATAACAACTGTTTATGGATACACTTACAAAAATCAATAGGATCAGAGCCTTATAGATGAGCTCTCCTCTGCCCTAATTATAACAATTCAATAGGGAAATAACTGGCATGTAATTTTCAGTACCTCAAAAACCAAGCTGATAACATTTCATCTTCACTGATCAGATCCCGTGTTTTCTTCAGTCATGATGAACAGTTGCACTCTTAATGAGGCTCCAGGCTTTGAATGTCTATTAAGTCTCACAACAGACCAAGTGAAACTTATATATAATTTATTGCTAAAGATGCCTGGAAAATGGTTAGCTCTTTCTATTGCTCCAGAAATTACAGGACTTTTGCTATGTTTTATCTTTACAAGAGTCAGATAGACTTTTACAGTTAGAACACACCATTCTATGCCAAAGTCAAATGCACCACATTTCCTTTGTATTCCAATTGTAAGGAGCAAGTTCCACTCAGTTTTCCCCAAGAACTGATACTGTGTGGATCAGACTCCTGCATGGATACTTCCCTGAACACTAAAATCTTAACCTCTTCAAGTCAAGAGTCAATTGTTATCTGTTCTCCTTATCCTCATAACCTTCACTTCCTACCAACTCTTCTTTCATTTGTATCATGTACCTTATTCAGTAACCCTCTACCTAGAGTGATGCTCAAGTCTTGTGCTAGTGAACTTTACTATAATAATAATAATAATAATAATTACAATAAAAATGTATCAAAGGAAAAACCAAGGATTTCTCTTAATACATAGAATTAACTTTGAAGAAATTAGCAGTAGAAAGCATTACTGATTATATAAGAGTAGAAAATGCTATTACTTCCTTAAAAATATTGGGAAAAAAATCAGTGACAGCCTATTGATTACCATGATCTTCAATGGATTTCTATTGAAATTTAAACTAACTCCCATCACCATTCAAAAAGAAAAATTTTGACATTCAACAAAATATTGAAGAGATGAAAAGAATGCTACAAGAAAATCATGGAGAAAACAGTATAAGGAGAATGGAAGCAAAACTTGAAAGAGTAACTTGAAAAAATAAGAAACAAAAAACTTGTGTCATACTTGTGGCAAACAAAAACATACAGTTTTAAACTGCTAAAATAAAAACAAAGATTTTGTAAAAAATGTTGATCACTTTTATAAAATGGTAAATTTCTTTCTATTTTTGGTTGGAATGGATGATATAAATGGTAACTTCAGAGCAACAACACATCATAATAGATGAGACAAAATTCATAAGTTTTGATAATTTCAAGGCTGACTTAGTAGACATCATTTTGTAAGAGTAATACCCAAATTTTAATGGGTATAAACACAGTTATGTGCTGTAAGATACAGTCTTTATCCTATCATTCAAACAGGATATATTTTCTGTCCAGTCTATAGCCAAGAAAGGTGATACTGTTAAATTCGGGTAGAATTTTGCCATTCATGTGTCCTAAGATTTAATATCAAAAGAGAGATACATTTGTACTTTCTCAACATTACTAATTCATTGAAATTTGTAACATGAAAATTTAAAGACACAGAATTTTAGACCATTATAATATGCAAGATATAATAAAACTAAAAACCATCACTGAGGGAAAGAAAAATTTGTAGTGACAGAAAAATGATGCAGTACAGGAATAGAAAGATAAATGCACAAATTTGATAATTGGAACTACTGTACCTCAATTTAGTTGGCCTATTGCAAGAGATGGTTTCACATAAGTTCCAAGTTTTGTGGGTAATTATTCCAGCTTGATTATGATTTGATCATGAATCATTTTTGCCTACAGCATATATTATGGTTATCTAAGTGTTAATGCAATTAGCTGTTCAGTAGTTTGATTGTTCACCAGATGGATGCTAAAACTGCTTATTTCCAAGTGAATGAATTGTATATGGAACAACTATGTTTTGTAATTAATTACAAAAACAGTGAAATACTTGAAGACTAAACAAGATCATTATATGTTATGAAACAAATAAGTAGAGTACTGTATTGCACTCCCATCTGATTAATCAAGACTTTATCCAATCAAATGCTAACCCTTGTATTTATAATAAATATAGTAGAGATAAAAATAATAATTGTTATTTTAGTTGATAATACTATTGCTACAAACTAGTTCTGCACTCACTGATGTGAAAAAGTGCTTGAGTCATAAGTTCAAAATGAAGAACCTCTGAGAAATTGCTTGGTTCATTGGTATTTTTAAAAAAAAGTTATATTCCTTCAAAACATAGTATCACTTTTTATTCCCTGTAAATTACTGTGACTAATTGGGAGAAAATAATAAAGTGGTTTCTTGTTACCTTCTCTATAGTTTTGAATTCAGAGTAGTAGTCCTGTTGTAGTGGCTACAACTCAAGGATAGAGAGTCCAGTGTACCTGGTTATTTATCTCATAGAAGGGATGGATTCTTGCCTTTCTCAAGAGCATTAGTGTGAAAAGAATTTGAACTTGGTTTGCCAATTTCAGTTTTCACACACAATTACTGTTACACAAGGTACACATTCTTTGGCATACACTTCCTATATGAGGCAATGTAATTAAAATGAACCAGAATAGATAAATAGAAATGTTGATGATCAAATTTGATATATAACATTGTAAAATGGATATAAACAAGATAGGTGAGGACTGTATTGAGTTGGTTGACGGCAAGTTGTACAAAGAAATAAGTTTCATCTTTATGACAGCCACTGAACCAAATCTGTATTATACTGTAATGAACTTGTCTCAACGCCTAGAAAAGACAACCATTCTCTAGAATTTAAATTTCTCTGAGCAAAACAGGCTTTACATTATCTGAGGTATACAAAGGATTAAAATGTAATTTTTTTAAAAAATCAGTTAAATTCCAAAGTTTAATTGGTTTCTGATACAGATGAGAGGAATTCTGAAGACTGTAGTATAATTGGTTTTCAACTGCTGCTAAATAGTTCACTGATATTTTGGAAAAAGAGAAGGAGCAAAATGTTGCACTATCCACTCAAAAAAGTTTCAACAACTACAACAGAAGAGTGAAAATTCTTAATTATTCAAAAATGTGATGAATTCTGATTCATTTAATGTGTAACTACAGCATCAAAGATCAATGTATATTGATAAAAAATACCACTTCATTAAGGCCAAAGAGCAGAAAGGGATTAAAAAATGTGTATATAATCCATCTGAGCAAAATGTAACAAGTATATTCACTAAATCTGCAACTGGAGTTAAGCTGAAGAGGTATGTTAATGTCTTTATAAAGAACTTAACCCTAAACATAAATTCTGTTATTAAATCCAATTATTGAGTCACTGTAAGTTTAAGTGGGACGTTGAAATATAAACATATGTGACCATAGGTAATTATAGAATTCTAGTGGAGCTCATTCTAACACTTGATAAATTTTGAGTATAAAATGCTTGTGTGTGTGTATATATATATATATATATATATATATATATATATATATATATATATATGTGTGTGTGTGTGTGTATATATATATATATATATATATAGACACATACACAAAGGGTGTAATGGGTAAATTGTTGCCATTTTATATTTTTAATTTTGTGCATGTGTGTTCTTTGATTTTGATTTTGTTTACTGTGCAGTATAGTAAGGTCAGTTGGGCACTGTCTGTGAGAAAAAAAGCACATAACACAACCCATTCTGCCAGAAATTTGGAAATGGCATGCTGTGCTGCTTGGCATTTCCACTGGAAGCTCCAATACAAACATTTCAGAGTGTTTGGGTGTCACTCTGAGCACAGTGCAATGTTGGATGAATCTAATGGTGATTACGAAGATATGGCAGCACAGAAAAATCACTCTGTTCGTTCTGATAAGAAAAGAACTTCCAAATTTATTGATGAGGGCCTCAAACTCATGTGCCTTGAGAAGGTAGGGCTGCCCTGGGTCAAGAGGGTGGCTGCTGGAAGACCCTATGTCTAACAACAGGACTCTGCACCATGCCACACAAGGAAGAGAACCCAGTCATGGCTGTCAGACAATTTCTGCAACCACATCACCCCTTTACATGCGGCCACCTAACTCCCCAGATGCAACCCCCTTGATCATTATGTGTGGGGCACAGTTGAGTGAGAGACCAACTCCTTGTAACACCAAAGGTAAACTGAAAGCAAGGATTATGGCAGCATTCACCAACTTAAACAAGGAGACCATTTAGAAGAAATGCAGGAGATTCTGAAGTCGTCTGGAGGCTGAGGTTGAAGCCAATGGCGATTTTATTGAATAAATTTATTCTTTAGTATTTCAAGGTATTTTGGTAAATGAGATGTCATTATTTTCATTTTTGTGTAATTTAGACAATTTATCCATTGCACCCTGTGTATATAATCTCTCACACACACACACACACACACACACAGTATAAAGCCATATTGAAATTAACACTGGCATTAGTTTGCTGTATTGCTATCAACTGACACTTGTGGATACTATTGTTGATAATATGGGTGTTTTGTTTATTTTGCCATCAAGTCTAACAATTCTGATATGCTAGTCCTGGTTAATTTATTTCAGCTCAATTGTGATATTATCTAGCCAATATGAATATTGATACTTTTTCAAGACATAGATGGTTATCACAGCAATTTTTTAAAAAGATTACCAACTTATATAATTTTGCTATTTGCAAACAATCTGTCAATTTGTCTATAAGACAATGCTAATAAATCTTTCGAATAGTGCAAAGAAAAAAAAAAAAAAAAAAAACTTATTTTTGGTTAAAATTTCCTAGATTTATTTTTTTTGTTACAATTTCTAGATTTCCTTCATGAAGATGAATCCTAAAAACTACCTATTGTCTTTGTAATATCAAGAAAGAACATAACTTTCTCTTTTATATTAGACATTTTCTACATAAAAATGGTTAAGATGAAAATATTTTATACTGTATTTATGTGCATGAAATTTGAAACTATACATTATGAAAAAATTTTTTCCTGAAATATTTTATATAAAGAAATTAAAAAATATGAACGGTTAAGTAACTAACATAAAATAATAACTGGCTGATAAATATGCTAATAATCAATCTTCATTGAAATCTTAGCAAATGCAAAATAAGAAATTTAACTTACGGCTTCCACAAGCTGACACAGTTTGATCTTGATTTGAATAGCATGGACACTTGAGTCTAAATGACGAACATACCTATGAAAGAAACAGATTATGTCATTAGCAATACACTTTTTATGAAGTAAATATTTGAATTTCATTATATGTAACTGCTCAATGTACATGAAGCTGATACTTGAAAACAGAGTATTAAATATTAGAATATCTCAGTTAATTAAAAATTAGAGAAATACAAAATTTGGCAACAATATTTAAATAAAATAAGTAGTATTAGCATCTGAAAACACAAATTTCACAATTTTGTATGCAAGAGATGAACATCAAAATTGAAACTTACAACAAAAAAATGACATCTAAATATGTATCTAGTATAGACACACCTAAATATTCACTTATTATTGTAAGAGATTTCGTAACTAAGATATAAAATTACTGAATGAGGTAAAAGCAATAGTTTGTGAGCAGATGGGTACAAAAAAGTCAGACAAAGGAATAATTTATCTGACTATTTTTGAATCCTTTTCAATTTACAAAGCTAATATTAAAGAATGTTTTTTTAAACAAATCTAATAATTCACATTAATGTATTTAAGTGTTTTCAAGATTAATCAGCTATAAAATTCTGTCAGATCACAAAATCATAATTTATTGACTGAAATTTCTCAGTGATAGTGCTTGTTAGATAAAAAAAGTTCAACAGAATACTAACCTAACAATGGATAGCATCATAGATTCAATGCTTGTCACACCAAGGTACTCGCATGGCTGGTCAGATTTCATCTCTAAGATGTTCTTCATGATAAATATAATGTTCTCAATGAATTGAGTATTCAGTTCTGTAACCTCCACCTGTAAAATGAGAATATTTTAAAAATAAGAATCCCAAATCAAACTATGGAAAAATAATTTTATGCAAATTGTATATTAAAGAAAAATTAACAATTCTATTGTATATTGAGACATTTTCCATGTAATTTAAATAATGTCATTTAACTAGCAACTAATATCAGTGACTTGAGAAAACATTGGTCAACAATCATTATCAGTTATTCGCTACAAAATTACTAGTATGATTATTTAGTTATTGGTAAAACAACATGAAGGTAAAAAAGAAAATATTTAATCTATGATGAAAAATTGTACTCATTAACTACATAGGAAGATAGCGAACTCTAAAAAAACAATTCCACAAGAAAATAGAAAATGAATTATCAATTTGTTCTTATTTGCATTCCTATTGAAAAAAAATATCTGACATTAACCAGTTTAATATCACATGCTAAAACTACACTGCAAATTTAGTTCTGCTTATGTAGGGTCATCAATAAAACCATAGCCTACTGATAAAAAACCCCACCAAAAAATTATATTACACAACGAATACTTATTTTTCAAAAATCTTTGTCAATGCACTTTGTTCAGTGATGAATATTAATCACATACAGTAAACATATGAATGAAAATATCATCAAAACTCAACTAGCTACATGTCTGGTTATGAATGTAATAAAACCTAATTTAAGTTTAAATAAAATATTTTTTTACTAAAATCCAATATAACTTTTTTATAAAAAAAAAAAAAAAAAAAAAACATGAAAATTTTAAAATATACTGACCTGCCCTGAAGAATCAAAAGAAGACCGCTCTACACTAATTTTGATTTGATCAAAAAGGTTGGGATATAGAGCTGGGTTTAATTCATGACCCAAAAATTCTTTAACGTGTTTTTGTATATTAGCTCCAAACTTCTCATGCTGACAAACCAGAAATTTTAGCAGATTTTCAATAAAGCTGAAAAAATAAACATGATAAACATGACATGACATGATATTTTGTAATTAAATCAACTTTTATGGTTAGTGTTAGACTGAATAAGATGACTACATGTCAACATTGATACATATCTTTGTTTTCATCAAAAGTTGTTTCTATTTTTTTTAATATATTTTATAATTTATATTTTTCAATTTTTTTCTCCTACAATAACAGAAATGCACAAGTGTATGAATGTTTAGTTTTTTGTTAAATAAAACTATTGTACAATTTATTGAGTTGAAAAGTGTCACCTGCATTTAAAAAATATTAATTCTAATTATTAAATTAGCTCAGAGTGACAAATGTTTTATCAAATTTTTCAAAAATTTAGTCTTCTAAGCATAAAAATGAACAAAGGACTGAATTTAAAACACTGGAATATTTGCACATTTTTCTCTATCACAATACATATTTTTTACTGATGAGAAAATTTAATATAAATATGCTATAAACAAAAAAAATCGTATTATGTACAGACTTCAGAGCCTTTATACCAGGTGCATAGTTTTCACTCAATAACCTAATAACCATTATGAATTCAATAACTTACTGTGTCACAAGACAACATTGAGTATCTGTAGAAGAATTCTGCATCAGGCTACTCTTACGAGACATACTACATCCAGGCATAGAAGGGGATCTATAGGAAAAAAAGTATTAATATTATTATATATTTTGCCAATTTTAATCAATTTTATAAGAGAGAGAGAGAGGGAAAGAGAGAAAATTAAGTTTTATATATGTTTAAATAAGGCTGCACAGTGTAAAAACATATAGTCAATTTTATTTCATTTCCTATATATATATATATATATATAATATTAGTTCTTTATAATCTACTTTTTCATAAGCTTCCTGAGATGATAAAAAATGCATTTTTTATTCTTTATACAAGTAAAAAAAAAAAAAAGAAGAGAGAAAAAATAGGAAAAAGGGAAGTAAAGACAAAAGGAAACACACTGTGCTAAATTAGATCGATGAGACTTGTTCTGTAGTGCAACACTTCCTAAAGCACACAGGAATCCAGTCATGTTGGCCCATTCATTCAGTTGATCCTGAAATTATAAAAGAATAAAATTTAATAAAAATAAATCTAAACCTATACAAAATTTATAAAAACAAAAGTAAAGAAAGAAAGAAATAATACACAATTTTTTTGTCTTACCTCCAATTCATGATCAGATGTTCCATGATGAGTTGGTTTCCTTCGTAAACGAATAGTTTCTCCTAAACTACCTGAGCCACTTCCTTCTTCAGGTTTACCTTTTGGATAAATGTCAAGGACCCTGGTAACATTGTCCCATGCTTTGCAAGTATCTTCCCAAGCCTGTATTAATATAATTAGCAGAAACCTTTAAAAAAAAAAACCATGTTCATCAAAAGTATAATACAAAGTTTTATAAGACACTAGATCTATAAACTATATTGGATATAATTATTATTGTAAATTTTATAAACCATTTTTCTGCAAAATTATACAGTGTAATAAAGTTTAAAGTTTTAAATTTGAAAATTTTTCCTTCCCCACCCCAGCAAAAAAAACAAAAAAAAAAACAAAAAACAACACAATCATACAATGCAGCCGTTTTCACATATTCATGCTGTTGTTTAGATATCCAGAAATTGAAATGATGACAGATTTGAAGTGAAACAAAAGTTGAATAATCACTGATCAGAAAATTGTTATTTTTTAAAAGCTTTTTTTTCTACAACTAAAATATGACTACATGGATGCAATTATTTGCCTCATATAAAAAAAATCTTAATACAACATAAAATTAAGTTTATGCTATCCTTTTCATGGTCGATTTAGAAAGTAACTGGGAGAGAGGGAAGGTAACAAATGATTTTTAGTCATTGAAATGAAAAACTTTGGTTCATCTTTAAAAAAACAATTTTTAAGTTAAAAAAAAAAAAACAAAAAAAAAACAGAAAACTTTGTAAAAACTGCTATCCTCAAAATATACAAAATTTCATTTCAAAGATTTACTTCATTATTAGCTTCTGCTTATGTCATATACATACCTGGGTATTTCCTGGTGTTGGATGATCAATTTTTCGTAACAGTCCCATAATCTTCTTTTGCAGTAAAGCTCTTCCTAAAAGCAGTGGACAAATTAGTAATTTTAGCAGTTCAATATCAGTTTATACTAAAAACATATTTTAAGTAAAATCTTTCTTTTTACTTAAATTTTTAAATGACACATGCTGCTTATTTAATCATTGAATAAATAAATGTTCATTTTTTTGTAACATAAATATAGTCTATTGTTAAACATAAAATATATGTAAATTTTATAGATCAAATATTGTCATTATTAAATTTTTACTAATATTTTTTCACATTATTTGTGTTGCAATATGCCTTTTTTTAATTTCTATAACTGTCAAATAAGCAGCAGGGATCTGATCTATAATATGAATAAATAAGTTATAAAGATTTAGCAGGTTTTATACGCAAATGCATTTTCTTCTAAGTACACATGTACAAAGAATTTACAAATTTAAAAAACAAACAAGTATTGTGGTGATTAAAACAAAAACAATTCAACCATAAAGTAATTTATTTCTAATCAGTTTCAACACAATGAAGAAACCAGTGATAATTAGAATTTTTACACTAATCCTTTAGCAAAAAAATAAAAATAAAAATTCTGTGTTTTTGCATTTGACAAACTTAAATTTGTCATACCAAAAGAATGTTTGTAGTATTCCCAATGCAAAAATTGTTGAATAACTTCCTGAATAAGAATAAATTATACTTAAAGAAATAAGTAAACAGTTTAATATTACAAAACTGAATAGAATATACATAATTTTTAATCACACTGCATGACTTTCAATTCAAATAAGTTAACAAAAAATACTACTTCTAAGTTCAAGATTAATAAGACCACATCAATTTTATCAACTCAACCTGCCTAATGACTTGTATTACTATTTTTAGTGTGGCATTATAAATTGGGCAAATATCTGTTTTTCAACAATACATACTGATATTCTTCAGCCTGAACCAACCATATTAAGAACAGCCAGAAAGTCGCTAACCACTTTCCAAGCAGAATCCATTCTTCTTTGGCACTTAGCCACCAACCATTTCTCAGCAGGCTTTTGTAAAAAAAAGTCTACTAATTATCTGTTAAAGATTATTTTTGATCAAATGGTTTCAAATTTTAGATTATTTTTTGCAACTGTAGATGACTGACCTGTGGTGAGTGTCATGCTGGCAGCTGCAAGTTCTGTATATACATTGTAATTGGGCAGGATCTGAGTCACTGCCACCTCATCTGCTCCACACCGAATATCTGCCTCTTCACACAACATATGAAAGCAGGACATAGCAGTTAAAACAGCAGCAACATCAATGCTCCACAGGTAGATAAAGAAGACAACCTGAAGAGAGAAAATTTACCCAATCATAACTTTAATATATAAAATCAAGAAATGTTTTCAAAACAAATTATTTTTTAAGAGTATTACTAACTAACAAGCACAAAGCTAAAAATATTACTATAGAATATCCAAAATTACTATATAGAAACTCATGGAATACATAAAATATTAAAAAAAAAAAAAAAAAATTTTTTTTTTACTGTTCATACTATTGCTTAGTAAATATATTGTAAAACTACTTTATAATATTGAACAAATAAAAATTTGTTCATCATTACCAACTGAGTTAGTCAGAGGCTAATGCTTTTGCATTAACCACATATTTCAAAAAAGAAAACAAATGATATAATTTATTTGGTATGGACAATAATCAGTTAAGAAGCAGAGATTTATAAAATGAAAGGGAGAGACATAAATCAAAAAGTAAGTGGATAAATAAGAATTTTTAATATATATTTCCAGTCATTAGTATTTATACTAACATACATTTTTCAGATTATTAGTAGTTATAATTTCATAAAAAGCAAATAAGTATTTCTTTCTATTTACAAAAATAGATAAAACACCAAGTGTAAATAGACAGAAAAAATAGTACATTTTGATCATTATTGTATATAAAACTAATAGATCTTATTTTTTAAATTACTATTAATTCTTGTTCTTTGTATAAGTCAGTTATTATATTTGACTGTTTTTAATCTACTATTTTAGTAAACCCCCCAAATCAACTATTTAAGACATATTAAATATTCAATATAAAATATTATGGTAATATTTTTGTAAATTTATACAAATGTCATACACAACAAATAGTTTTGCTTTGAAAAATGTGCATGTGTATAAAAAATGCATGCAACTGTAGATAAACATTACAGTAAATTAATAAAATATACTACTGCCTGAATTTATAGAATTTTAAAAATAAGTTTCTTTATAAAAAAAAAAAGATGGATAATTACTAGGTTTGACTTAATCAAGCACAAGAACACAATAAGTCAATATCATGTTTGTGTTGTGTGCTAAGATTTTAAAGCAAATAATCTAATATATAATATCATCATTAGATAATTTTCTAAATAGTTTTACCTGATGTGATAATTTGTTTTGCAACAAGTTACTTTCCTTAGATGCTAGAAATTGTTATAAAGTTGTGATAGAAAATGAAATTTAATTAGGACAAGTGTGCTTGAAAAACATTCTAATTCAGATGACTTAAAAATAGATACCAGATACAACTTCATATAAAAAAGAATCAAATAAATACTTAATCTATATTTTCAAGGAAAAAGGGGGTCCTATGTGCCATCAAATAATGTAGTTCTAGAACATAACATTTATTTTTAAGTGAAAAGTTAATTTTTACATTAGATTTTAGACCACTGCTATAGAAAAATTAAAATCCAATTAATGATCAGGTTTTAGTTCTTTCTGCAAATTCATAAATCAAAATAACTCATTGCATTTTATACAGATTTTTCTTTACCAAATTACTAGATTGCACAAAGATTTGCTTAAGACAAACACATTTTAATTTTTTTTTCAATACAGCAGAAGTTGATCAAAACTTTTCTTGCAATATACTGCAAAATATAAACACATTCAATTTCTGTTGATATAATAGTTTGATAATAAGAAATGATCACATGAAATTATAGATTTTGGATAGTTTACATTTTAAAATATACTCAAAAAGTTTATTTTCACAATCTGAATTTGTTTTTAAAATGAATTAATTTTAATTCTTACAAAAAAAGTCCCTATTATAATAATAAGGGCTTTAAGAAGCCTTACTGAAATGAACAAGGAGGGGAGCACACTACATTTTGGAGTGCAGGAGCAAGAGCGATATCCACTTCAGAATTTGAAGAGTATGTAAAAGCTCTGATGATAATATTAGAAGTAAATAAGCATACCAAGTATTTGTAAAATTTTATTCACTCTGTCATCTTAAAGTTCTTTGCATAAACACACAGCCATAATTTTTTTTTTTTTGGTAATCAGATAGCCAATCCTATGGAAAATTTCCTCTTTTAGTTGTACAGTAAGCTATGATGATAAAATGACAATGCCAACCAGTCTGTTGTTATCAACTACTCTCAGCATTTCAAAGAAAAAACCTGACAGTCCCTGATCACTATCAAATAAGCATGAATTCTAGCAAAATAATGAGTAAATAAACTTTAAAATAACTTAATATCTTTCTCACATTCACTTTACATATTTTAGTAGAAACTACTTTTCAGCATTTTTCTTAAGCACATCAGGCAAAAAATGTCACTAGTGTTATTAATTGGAAAAAAAAAAAAAAAAAAATTCCATTAACAATATCACCATTAACTTTTCTTGTATTGCTTTCACTTGTGTAAAGTGAAAAAGTTTTTTTTTTTTTTTCCAATTATTTAAAATGAATATAAATCATTAAGAGTTAAAACAAAGGTGAATTTTAAATGTTATGACAATGCACTCCATCTGTTGGTATGGCCTCTCCGCCTACGTTGTGTATTTTTGATCCAAAGTAGTCTCTTTGTGGGGTTGGTCAAAATGTTCAGAGATGATTGTCACAAGAAAAAAAAAAAAAAAAACTGATCTCAAGAGTGATAAGAAAATGATTATTTAAAAATATAAAAACACTGCAATTATACAATCAGTGTTATGTCAAATTAAACCTTCCTTTGTTGAAGGGATTTTGTCTTGCTAACTTATAATCAATCAGTTAATTTTTAAATGGCTATTCTTTACAAGAACAAAGAACTTGTACTGACAAAAGAAAAGAAGGGTTGATATAGACAGGGAACTCTTATGTCAGGCCTTCGATCAAGATTAGTCATTAATTTTTAAATGAGAAAATGTTGTTTTGCTTCCAAGCAAGCAGAAATGTCAGAAAAAAAAAAAAACTCTTGCTCTTTACAATTTCCAAAGTTCACATTTCTCTACATAAACAAAATTTAAAATTACCAAAATTTGTCATTCTGAACAAAGTGGCTTCTGTTGTTCAGATGTTTTTCATATATCTATCAACTAGGTAGTTTAATGTACTTGTAAAAATCCAAGTTACCCAGTTTTCCCCCTTCCAGACTAATAAGTTTGATTCTAATATGAACAAATGTTGTGTGCAGAGTTTACACATGTTTGTAAAATCCTCATTAGTCATAGTGTCACAATATAAACAATATTAAATATGCATAATTTCTTGTATAATTAATGTAGTTTATTACTCATTTTAATTAGCTCCTCAATCCATCGTCTATTTAAAAAAATTATTCATTACAATGTAATTTGAGTGACAAGTATTCATTTTGGTTGAATTCTGTGTACATATTTATATTCATTGCAACTTCCAAACTACTGAAATGGAAATAAAATTTACATGACTATAAAGAAAGCATTTTTCTTTTAAACTGAAATAAAACCTGACATAAATTCCTATTTTTGTTAATCTTTTTATAATAGTTAATCAGAACAATTTATATTCAAAAACTATAAAACACCAAACTATAAAAAATAAAACATGTAGCTATAACGATTCTGTTCCAACAACAGAAAATTTGTGAATGTATGATCAAAAATTACTTCTTTCAAAATAAAGTATGCTTTAAAATACAGGTATTTTATCAGTTTAGTACATGCTGACCATTATAACCAGATTATTTAATAAGTGCTGACAAGTTTGTGTCAACAATATTCATGTTTTGCAATACTCAGCTGTTATAGAATAATAGGAAAAAAGAATATGTAATCAACATACCTCTAACAGTATATGCGAGTCTTGGCAGATTGTAATGTTACTACCCAAGTTAGCATTGATGCTGTGTTTCTGCAAAAAGCTGTTTCGACAGATGAGGATCTCAAGGAGCCACTTCAGAATCTCTGTATTGCTGGCAGTTGGAACCAAATAAGGGTTCAGTTGGTTCTGAATCAATTTTTGTGAAACTGAAGTAAGCACTTGAGAGCTGAAAATGATTTGAACTTAACATAACATCCTCAAATGAACAATGTATGATTGGATAAATTAAAAACATGGTCTATAAAAATATTCAAGAATGAACTATATTTAACTATAAATGAATAAAAATAGTAACCAAGTTCAGTTTTAAAAAAAAAAAAAAAAAAGTTTATATTTTGTGTATGTATAAATCAACAATCTCATATTTTGGTTTGAAAACAAAGGTAGAAAACAAAGGTAGAAAAAATGAGAAATTTAAGAATGAAATTCAATCTGCTCAATACATTATACAAAAGACCTGCAATCAAAATCTTGTCATTGCAACCTTTCAGTCAAATTCAGAAATAGCAATTTAAGTAGCTTTTCCAATAGATCTCTAGAAGGCTTTTATTTTAACAAAAGAAATGTTTCAATTTTGTGCAATTACTCCCACATTTCAAGTATTTAAAAAAGAAAAGAAAAAGGAAAGCAATCAGACATTTAATATACTGAAACTACTACTGCAAAAGAAAACATGACACCTAACATCTTGCCAATATACTACTCCTGGATATTTTTGATAAATTTCACTATTTTGGAACTACTTTTCTAACAGAAAAGATCAATGAAGAGCATCAAATGTTAGTACAAGTCATTCAGCTAAAGATGTAGGGCTGTATAATTCATTTTGTGATTAGAAAATACACTATTAAACTGTACTGTGAGTTCAGTGGGATAAACACTGATATTTTATATGTAATTTAAAAAATAAAAAATATAGGCATTTTCTAATAGTGATTAAAGAGACCACCACACATGTCAGCACTACAGTAACATATAAACATTAACCTACTTTATCTACAACGCATTGAAGTTAAATTTCCATATTAGAATGGTATATGTAAAAATCATTGCGGAATTATTTCTGTACTTCAAACTTTCCAGACCATTTTCCAAATATTTTCTTGTAAAAATTCTATATTCATTAAATTTTTTTTCTCTTGTTTTCTTAGGTTAAATCCCTGGGAAAATTATTAATTTTGATGTTAGCTGGAACATTTTAGAAAATGACATTTTCTATTTATTTTGATATCACTAAATCACAAAGTAATGTTTTCAAACTAAAAATAATACTATTTTGTTACTTTACCATCAAGCTTATAAATTTTGTGCATATATTGTAGGTTATAATTTGTGTCTTAAGAGATGTAAAAGGAACTAAAATAGTCATTAAATTCCAAGTTGAATGGATTTTTTTCACTTAACTGGCAAGATACTAATTGCTACCATTTCAAACATGATCTTCAAATTCATGAAAAATTCAAAGAATTTTGGATAATTGTTTTAACAATTGCACCATACATTAGAATGCTTTCAATGAATTGTGGAATGGTTTTACTTATTTGCATATTACTACGTTATACCTATTATAATCAAATAGGCAAAATTATCTTCAAGACTATTAGGAATAAAAGCACTACAGATAATGTATAATCACCAAATTAAGATAATTTTTTAAAATATGCCTATAAAAACACAGCTATTTTTAAGATAAAATAAATTAAAAATTAATTCATTTACTAAGAAAACAAATTATGAAATTACAAAATGAAATAAAAATAAAAGAAAGCAAACAGAGTTAAAAGTTAAATATCAAGTCAAACCTTATTTCCCAAAAAGTGTTGATTGGGGCTTCAGGGTTCCACAAATCAATACTTTCAGGCTGATGTAACCGGAGGAGAGCCTGAAACAGATGAAAAATGATGACATGATAGTGTGTGTGTGTGTGTGGGGGTTCCTAAAATTCAATCAAGTTGATTAAAAAAAAATATCAGTAATTCTGTAGTAAAATGAAAAATTTCAATATACATTTTTGCATAATATTTTTTTTAATCATTTCAACCTAAGCAAGGCAATAAAACCACTAAAATGCAAACATGCTAGAGAATATGAGAAAAATATACTATTAAGGAGAGAAGACAATAAAAGAACAACAATTAACAAGACAGAAGATAATGATTGACATTGCATTTAAATTTTTTAAAATCAAAGTTGACTGGGAAGCAAAAAGGCAGAAGAGAGTTCCACAAGTGAGAAGTGTGATAGAAGAAACTGTTAGCACAGAACTTATGGTTACATCTAGCGGCCATTGCAACTGTAAAATGACAAGAGCTGGCTGCCAATCTATTACTGTGCTTAAATTCATGAAGTCTAGGTACCATAAAGGAAAGTTCATCAGAACAATTACTATGAAAATATTTATAGAAAAGGCACAGGGATGATATGTCACAGTGGTGGGAAAGTGACTGAAGCTGAGATGCCAGGTCAGGACCAATAACATTGCAGATTCTTCTCTGGATTTTATCAAGAATCTCTAAACATATAGCAGAATCACCAGACCAAATGTGGCAACAATATTCAAAGCATGTATGAATGATAGTTTTGTAAATATGTAATATAGATTCTGGTAAAATAGCAGAAAACAAAGTGGAAAAGGTATATTGAATATTTTCATATTTTTTAATATTTCAATATTCATATGTATGAGATAAATGAGAACCAAGACAAAAGAGTAGAAATATTCTAAATATACAATAGAAGTTTGTTCATAGCGTCAATTGGTGTTGAAATCTGCAATTTGCTAGATTTTCAGCAATAGAATTAAAATGAGCAATCATTAGTGAAGAAGATTTTCAATATAAAAATATTTTCATGTTACCTCCATGGCTTCTTTTGCAATTTCAGGCATTTGTTGCACATGGACAAGAAACACAAGACCATTAATTAATTCTGAGGTGCTCTTCTGTACCTCAAGGCCAGATTTATCAGGATTCTATAAAACAATGAAAGATATTATTATTAAAAATAATTTTTGAATAAGTGAATTTAGTTGGAACTTATATGTTCACATATATTTTGTAAATTAAAAAATATTAATTTGTATGTTAGTTTTTCAATGATTAACGAGTGGAATAATTAAAGATTAATATCAAATGTAAATTTTGTAATCAATTAAAAAAAGTATATCAATTTGTCAGTTAAAAAAAATGAATAGTAAAATTTCTAATCTATTTATTAATCAAACTCGGTTAAGATTGAAATTGTCTATGATGTCATACAATTTAAAACTGCATGCCAAATATCAATATATATTGAATGCTATCAATGAAAAAAAAAAAAAAAAAAAAAAAAAACAAATTAAAAAATAAGGCCTAGTCTCAAAACAATTGGTTTTGAACATGTCAATGAATAGAGAACAAAATGGCTGAAATAAAGAAATTATTTTGTTAGAAGAGAACGACTAAAATGAGATGTGATATTTGCTCAATTAAAGTTAAACACCAGATAACAGCTACACCTAAATCCCAATTAGCTTAACACTTATTATTATACTCACATGCAGCATAAGGAGAGGATCAGCATGTATTAGTTTTACTAAACCCAATAGAAAATATCTCTGCATTGTAGTTTCTTCACCAGTTCGAGCCAGCTTGAACCCAGTCATCTTGGTAATGGATGAAAACTGAAAATAAATATTAAGAGAGAAAATTACCCAAAATATAAGGCTTCTTAGTTGAATTTTTTTTTTAAAAATCATTTTAGGCTTCCAACCTAAAAATTCATGTTATGAAAATTCTATTATTTTTATACTAACATTAAATTGATCATCTTTATATATTTCCGAGATGATGTATTATAACTACTTACACTATTTACATTGTTCAGACTGTTTCCTCATCTTTATTGCCATATTCACATTTCAGCCATTGTATGCTCGGGCCTTCTTCAGGTGATATTAATTGGAATTTCAAACATGAAGAAGGCCAGGACATACAACAGCCAAAACATTTTGAATATAGCAATAAGGATGAGTAAAACTGTCTTAACAATGTGAATAGTGTAAATATTAAACTTATCAATTTAAAAAATATTTTACCCAAACACCAATTTTAAAATAAAATTACATAGCTGAAAAGTTATATAGCACAAAAATGCATCTAAGTCAAAATCTACATACACTTTAAAATTATTTAAAAAAATGAAGAATAAGAGGAAATTGCAAAATTATACACGGTTAATGAAATTTCATATGAAATAATGTTTTTGTTTTTCATGAAACTTAGCCAATGTAGTGACCCACCTGTGTCTTTGGTCCTTGACTGGCTGTTGCTAGCATTATCTTGTTAACAGCATCAGTAAACATGCTGCGCAATTCAGCAGCCTTGCTATACATGTTTCTGATTTCTGGCCACCATGTAAGACGTGGCTACAAATAAGAGTAAAACATTTGTTGAGATACCAAAGCACAAATCTTATTATAAAGTATTTTTCAAAATTAACATCAAAGAAATTCAAAGTAAAAGCCTGTCTATTACATTTTCAGAACAGTTAATATGCAAATTGTTTGGTGCAAGAGTGGCTCTAATATACAACTACCAATTGCAATATGACTGCCTTTTATAGATGAGATAATCATATTGGATTAGTTTTTCTGTGTTGGTGTAGAATAAATTTTGTTGTATTTACCTTTGTTTGTAGCAGCCTTTTTATAAGTGCAAGACCACCAGAAACATTTTTTATAAGTGCACTGACAAGGGCAAACAATCAAGCATTCTTCTTTTCTACCACAACATTTTTGACCTGTTAACTTACTTTTCTGTTTGTGAAATGAAAGGAAAGTGAAGATTGACACATTCTCTTTCTCCAAACTTTTTGCCCTTGTGCCATATTTTTTTGTATTTTTTATACAAAATTAAATAATGCCATATTGGATTAATTGCTGATATCAGAAATTACATGATAACAATACTGTTAATATACACAAAAAATGTTTTTTAAAGAGTTGGCCTTATTTCATAATTAGCAACAGTTTCAGTAAAATTAGCATCATAATAGATTTTACCTAAAAAAATTCCAGATTGTAAAAACGATATAAAGTTAAGACTGTGTAAAAAATAAGCTATGGAATAGCCCTATTAGTTTCTCCAACCCTTCACCTGCCAGTCCAGCTAACCCTTGTCAACTGTCTGATTTTATTCATGTATACATCCACCTGATCCCCAGTCCACCTCACCCTTCCTAGATTGCTGCCATATACAACAAATGCTCCCTCCATAAATGCTTTCTTTAACCACATCTAATTGGTCATACTTGGTCATTTTTAAGTAAACACTTAACATGTCCTTTCCAAATATAATTGCATGAAACTGGCAACATTGTAAATTTCCTGCAGCTTTGCCACTAGTCCCACCTTTTTATTACCCATACAACCATTCTCCCTCGGCATTAAATAGTCTTATTCTAATCTTTTAAGATATTTTATCTCTTCTTTTAGCCAAAATACCTTGTGATTTTAATGTCAAATAAAATAATTCTCTTGAGAAAGCCGAGAAGTATAGAAGACGCCCACAAATGTAATAAAACAGAAACAATTTACTTAGCCCAGATTTGAATGAAGAAACTTTTGCACAAAAATGCCAACAGTTTGATCCATCAATGGTCAAGAGAATACAAAAGAACCAGAACCTTCAGTTTATGTGAGCTTATATACTTCACCCCCAGCGTCCTACCTATCCCTTCATCTTGCTTCTTCCCCACCTTCCACATTCACCAATTACATGAGTTTTCAAATACTACATACAATTTTTATTACAAACATATCAAGTCCTGAATTTTACCAATTTGCAATAGTCATCAAATGATAACAAATCAAGAGTTCTGATTAAAATGTTAAATTAAATTTAACAACCAGCCCATTTCCAGACTTGAAAGATTTTTGATGAAATTAATTTGATTAGAGTTAAATTTAAAAGTGTATGACATACCTGTGTGATGATCTTGTATAGAGCATTGACTAATACCAGATGGTAAAAGAGTGGAGAATTTGGATTAAGGCAGACCTTAGGTAGATCTCCAATGTATGGATTGATGCGGAAAAATGATACGAAACAGTCAATGTACAACTCTATGTCCTGACCAATAATGCTCTGGCTGCGACTGAATTTGGTATTTAAAGGTGGGCTAAATAATAAGGCCTGAAACAAAAAACAAACATGTCATATTAGTATAAGTGAATAAAGATAATTTCCTAAGAGTTCATTTTTTTTGTTAGCAAGACACCTACTAGTAATGATAGGTACCTCCACGATATCGCTAAAAAAAGAGCATAGCATGATGAAAAAGACGCCAAACTTGACGAAAACAAAATTTTATCGTCTAAATGTTTGTTATTATTAAGAGGAAAGGTCAAAAGTATTTTTGGGGTATTTTTTCCATTTTTAATCGTTCCTAGCACGTCCGAAATTTTCGTTAAAAATCTAGTTTTTTTTGAGTCAGCAAAATTGACCATTTTTTTTCCATTTTAAAAAAAAACTGGAAATCTGACTTTGAAATTTTTTTAAATATCAATTATCATTTTTTCAAAACTTATTTTAAGAAAATCAGAAATTATAATGTTTATTTAAAATATTTTGAACCAAACTTAACTTAGCTTTTGTGCCAAAAAGATGTAATTTGAAAATAAAACAAAGCAGGTCAAACTTTCGCGTCTCTTGACATGTGATGAATGATATATTTACTAATTCCATGAGGCTAATTTGTTCTCGGAAGGAGAAAAGTGAAATAATTTACATTTACGTGAACAAATTATTTACCCCATTATTTTTAACGAAAACTTTTCAGCGGTCTAATTTTTTTTTTTTTTTTGTACTTAGCTTTCACCTTTACGTTTATGATGCTTTATGGGAAATATATTGTAAAGAAATTAAAATAAAACTGTTAAGATTGACATTAAATTTCATATTTCTTAAGAAAGGTATCTAATTAATTTATAGGTACCTTTCTTATGAAATTTTATCAGAATTGTACATAAAATACTATAATTTTATGTACATTTATTACATTCTACTGTTATTTGTATTCATTTTATTATTAATTTTGATATTTCATTTATGGAAAAATATCGTAACTGAGATTAATATAAAAATAAGATCATATAAATTTCATAAGATGATACTGATACTTGTAGGTACCCTTCTCAGTTGAAATTGAAAAATCAAATTAACTTCTCCACACATGTTTTTTAAAAGTAAAGGCCTTAACAGCGGAGAACAATGCTTAACTCAAATAACGCAACTTAATTATATTCTGGTTGGTCTTCCGTATTTTATAATTACAGCTCGATTATAAGCACAAAATTACATTTCTTAATTACTGGGGATCTTCTGATTAGTCAAAATGATACAATTTACAATGCGCTAAAAAGATCTATCTCATAAGGACACTTATGAAAGCTGATGCGGCTTTTAACTAATTTTATAATATTTTAACAACTTAAATGTAAAATCTATTATAATTAATGAAATAACAAATAATTGTATTAAAAATTCATTTTTCATCGAAAAAATTTTTTTGCTTTCAGAAAATATTGTCCATATTCATAAAAGCAAATAAAAGCATTTGAAATTAAATAATATCTTTGTTTTATTGAGTTTTGTATGTTACAATTCAGAGCTGATTTTCAGGTACTGCGTATCCAATTAAAAAAAAAAAAAAAAAAAAAACATGATTTGCATTCCTCAAAGCCCTGTGCTTTTAATTATTGTAATCACTAAAACCGATGCGATCGAATTTCTAGCGTTTTCATAAAATTAGTTAGGGAGGGGGGTAATAAATATTTTAAAAAAAAAAATTCTACAATGACTTTCATAAAAAAAAACATATTTATAATAATTTCGATCACCTGTGAATAGTTCCTGAAAGTTTCATTAACATCCGATAATTATTTCTATTTTTGCACGATTTTTCAAATTAATGTGTGTCATACCAAAAAAAACGTGCTAAAAATTGTCTATGTTATTTACTAGTTCGCTGATACAAATAGAAAAAGGTTTTTTTAATCAAAATTTAGAATGTTCTAAAAAGAAGGAAAAATTTTTAAAAATAATTAAAAAAAACTTTGGTCTTTCCTCTTAATAATAACATAAGCATTTAGACAATAAATTTTTGTTTTCGGCAAGGTTGGCATCGTTTTCATCAAGCTATGCTCTTTTTTTAGCGATTTCATGGAGGTACCTAAGTAATGATGTATCAATGGTAAGAAAATCAGACAAAAATTTTTCAAAGTGAAAGGATAATATTACTGACATATCTTAAACTTACTGAAGTTAAGCAACATCAAGCCTGGTCAGTACCTAGATGGGTGACTGCTTAGGAATAATAGGTACTGTAAACTTAGATGTGTGAGTGGAGTAATGTATAACGGTTTGGGATTGGAATTCAGAGAGCCAAATTCCAATTCCAGTCATGTTTATTATATTCACATATGTGCAAATGCCCTTGGGAAAGGTATGAATTCACTTCTTCCCTCAGTTATGGGTTAATTTGTAGGACTTGTATCAGTAAATTATTATTATTATTATTATTGCAAAAAATTCTTAAAATCTAAAAATATTTTCTGGCTTTAAATAACCTGCAAAAGGTTGATAGGGCATTAAAAAAAACAAAAAAACAATCATATCTTACATGAACATTGATTTTTTATTTTAGATAATTTCATAAGATTTGAAATAGAGTTCCAAAAGAAAAATCAAGCAATGTTTGATTTCCACTTTTAAGTTTGGGTTGTTTTTTTTTTTGTATTTAATGACAGACACCAGTGTGTTAAATCATGTTTATAACATTTTCAAAAATTGATCACACAGATAAGTATTCGGGGTTATATCTTGTTATATAGTTTAACTTTTCATAAAAATGTGAATATTGTGTTTCATTGAAAAAATGATAATATCCAAGTTGAGTTAGGTTCAGGTCATCACATTTTTTTAAGAAACTGTACTGTGCATTGCTCAAGACACTGTACACAGCAATGATCCTTCATTTTTAGTATATGTGATTGGGTTATACGTGTATGGTTTGTTTGTTGTTCTCCTCCAATAGTGGGTTTGATTCCGTACAGAATTCTACTTTAAGACATGAGAAAAAAAATGGTCAATTTAAAATCAATAATATTAACTAAAGAAGCAATGTCTAAAAATTAAAGAAAAAAAAGAAAAAATGAATAGTAATTTTATAAGGTGGCCAATACTAGGAGATATTTCCCAAGTAATCAGTAGAAAGAACATGTATAAAATGAAACAGTACTATAAGTTGACATCCAGTCAAAGTATTCTATCAAGTAAGAAATTATCTTGTGTACATCTATTCTGAAGACAGAAAAAATTATACGAATATATACTCAGCATACAAGCAAAAATTTCTTTTAACAAAACAAATATAGAGCTTACCTTAAGGTCATGAGTAACTGACTGGACCAATGTAAATAATACATTAGGTCGGTCATTAATGTTGATATATGTAGATGCCTTGCACATGCGTACAAATGTAACTGCAGCCCCTTCAGTTTGCAATAAAGCTTTAGAGCTGCCGCCATGGTGGCTGGATATAGCTTTACGAGCTTCATCAACAAAATGTCTCTGAAAAAAAAAAAAAAAATAAAAAATAAATAAATAAATAAATATTAATGTATCATGAAAACTCATAGCAACTTTAAATTGCATATCAATTTCAGAAGTTCATTTAGAGATCAAAGAAATATTCATTACTTATGCATCAAATGCTGAAAACTATTCTCAATTGTATAAATTTGAAAAGGCTCTAATATAATGCTTCATTTCACAATGGGAAGACAATAAAAACTGCTTTCCTTAAATTTAAAAACATAGGAAATAAAATTTTTAAAATAATTCAAAATCCTTTTAAAAAAATTTGAAAAATAATCAATACTGCAAATTTTAAAAAACCTTTTTAGATGTGTGTATTTTATAGATAAGATTTAAAAAAAATAGGTTTTTAAAATAAAGTTGTCACTAGCAGAAACATCATGATTTTTTTTAATAAGTCTTCAGTTTCCTTTGTAGACAAAACTGAGTGTAAATATATCCATAAGATCCACATTTAAAATAATATAGTTAGATGTCACCAAAATATACCTTTTTTGTCATTTGTGGTGAACAAGGTGCCCCACACTCAGCATTCTGAATCTCTTGTAAGATATTCTAGAAAGTCAAAAATAAAATAAATTTTAAAAATTGCACAATTTAAACAAAAATACTCAAATGTTGGTTCCGATATTGCTTCACATGATACATTTTAAAGAATCAAATCTTGTGTTTTCTATATGATGCAAGATAAATAAATCAGCAAGATACATAAAATCAATAGGCACATTTTAAAAATGATTTTTAAATTATTTGACATTACCAATGGGTATGTAATAAACAGATTATTAAAAAGGAAATACATTGTACAAATATTCTGCAGATATGTCATCTTTTTTATTAAGGCAAATAGATTTTTCAGTTATCAAAGTTAACAAGTTATTTACTTAACTATCAAATATTTATAGCTGAATATCTTTATAATCATCAATAATGAAAATAGATATTTGTATTTATGAAAATTATATTGCCATTTAAAAGCTTTACTTACAGGACATAAAATAAGAAGCATCATCTGTAGAGGCCAGACTGTAGCCTTCTTCTTAGAGTTTTCCGTGAAACTGTTGAACAGTTCAAACAATTTATCACAGCAATCTGTAAAAAGTAAATAATAAAATAAAGAACAAAATTTTATATTCTTCGTTGCAAACACAAAACAATATTAAAATAATAATAAAAAGTTTGCATATTAATATGAAACCACTTGAATATTACAAATACATGCTATTTACTTTAATTGAGAAAAAGTAAACCAATAACATTAATTCTAAATTGGGCAATCTGCTCTCACAATTAAGCTTCAAATGACATGAAGAGTATAAAATTCAACTTGGTTTCAAGGTTTCTTTGTTCTTTTTAACAGGAAAATTATCAACAAAAAAATACTACATAAATTCTCTCACCTTGCAAATCATTATTTGGTTTCTGTTGTAGATTGTTAAACTCTAGAGGATAGTTGTCCATCCAGTTCCAAATGGCCTGTTAAGAGAAAAAAGATCCAAATTATTCGTTATGCTGTAATAAGTCTATCCAAAATGCATTATTTCAGATTGGAGCAGCATAAAATTCTTATATGTTATATATATTTTTAAAGGTATTATAAATAGGGATATTCAACATTTTATAGTACAATAACTTTTCTACAAATTGTCAATTATTTTTCTAAATGAGGAATACTAGATGACACTACACCATTATAAAACAAAATTTAGTTATTACATGCTAAAAATTATTTGAAATTAGAGAAAAGCCTTACCTTTTCAATATTGTGAGCCAAAGTATAGATTACTGCTTTTTGTTTTAATGTTCGGAATTTTGTAACAATATCTGTTTTTAAAAAAAAAGAGAGAGAGTGAGAAAATGTTTAGTTTTATATATTTTGTTGTGATGTTTACAGATAATATTTCCTGACTAAGGTTTTGATAATCACTATAAAAACTATGCATTACATCAATATTGAAAACAGGTTACATAAAACAGTAATGAAAATTAAAAGCAATTTGTTTGATATTTCATCATAAAAATGATTGTAAATTTCCAGTAATTATGTGATAAATTAGTAGATGTTACTGGAAAGTTTAAAATTAATATTTTCTGTTCTTTAGAATTGATGCTCATATTTTCATTAATGAATAAAATTCCAGTTGAAAAGCATAAAACATTCACAATCTGAACTTGCAGTCAACTTATGAATACCAAAGATTTACTCATCAAAATATTGGAAAGAATGAATAAATTCTAAAAAGTAAACTAAATGTTTAGTATAGCAATTTACTCAAATTGCTTCATTCTTGAATTAAGTATCTAATATGGTAAAACTTTGATTATCTCTTACCATTCAACAATTTGATAAGCCGCAATATGTCCACATTGATGTGTTGTATTAATTCCAAATCTGACATATCTGATTGGTCCTCATTGCAAGTGGATAGGGCAGTCAAACTAAATTTTTAAAAAAATTTAAAAATGTAAATGCACAATGTGCCAGTCCTGCATTGGTATCAAAATTTCTTCCGATTATTTTTCTACATAGAAAAACTAAGTGATAATAAGAATTTGATACAGATTACATTACTTTTCACACTCAAACAGATTACTAAGTGAATAAATTCTGAATTGCTCTACATCTTTACTCAGAAGATAGAAATTAATCATTTAGGTTATCTTGTATGTGTATAAAACCTATTTCGCAAAAGATTTTATGAAAATGCTTCAGATTTCTTGTTAAATGTTCATTTTCCACATCTACTTTTAAGAAAAGCAAAGACAATTTAAAATAAAATGGATTTAATATAAATCAACTTACCGAGCTGAGATTCTATTAAAAACAGCAGTAAAATTGTTTTGGCTAAGAGCATAAAGAACTTTTGAGGCCAAATTTTTTAACTGTAGGGCAAGGGAAGTGGTATCATTAGGATAGTTGAGAAACTGAAAGAATGAAATCAAACATGTTTTACAAAAATTTTATGACTAAAAATTAATGTCTTTTATTTCACACATTATATTAAAAAAAAAGAAAAGAAAAAAATATTAGCTGTATAATAAAAAATATAATAATCCAAATTAAGATGCTTAGAAAAAAATTCATTGACAGTAATAGGAGGTTGAACCTGACATTAATTACAAGACATGAATAGGAATGAGAACTGACAAATATATAAATTACATTCATGTATCAAATGTTAAATATATATTAAGAAAATGATAAAAATGTTTATTATACAAATATTGCTTTTGAATGATTAAGTTGAAAATCACCTAAAAGAGTAGATAACAGAATAACAGCTTGTAAATTTTTATTTTGGAGATGTGACAAACAGTTAAATGAGAGTTATCTAAATATAAGTATTGAAAATTTTCATAATTTTCTCATGTGACAAATGTAAATCTTACTTTGCAGATCTCTGGTAACAGTAGTTTTACATACATAGCTTCATCTAGGCGTGTTGTATCTTTTGGTTGCTGAAGAGGTAAAGGAGATAAATGTTAGCAATAAATATAAATATCTTCACTTTCTACATTGATGAAAATATAAATTTAATATAAAATATAAACAATAGCATAAAAAATGTACTAGTTTCCCAAAATTAAAACAAAATTTTTAGTCTTGAGGTACATCATTTGTCTTTCTTATTAAATTACATAAAACCTTCAAAGACTTAATACAAAAACAATAAAAAATTTTTTTTAAATATTACACTTTTAATGTAAATGAAAAATTATTTCTTCAAAATTTAAATATTTTATGTTCCATAACACAGAGCATTCTTTGCTAAATTAACTTATATTTACTTACTGAATTTAGTACTTGTTCTAAAGTGTCCAAAATAATTAACTGAGACTCATAGAAGTTGCGTTCCATTTCAGGCCCAGTTATGCGCTAAAAAAGAAAATTAAGCCCATAAATAACATATTTCTATTCTTTTTTTCTAAATAAAAATATTTGCAGAAAATATTTTAAGATAAATAAAAACTGACAAAAGGCATTTAGAATATTGTTCAGAGAAATACTGCAGAACTGCAATTAAACCAATTAAAAGGATGCCTTTAGAATGTAGATAGAAGCAGTTGTTCAAAATATAAAAAAAAAACAAAAAAACATGTGTATACATTTCATCACTACATTACACCGAATTTCTGTATTTTTGTAAAACCAAGTCAAATCACTATTTACATTATTCGGACAATTGTCCTCATCTTTGTTGCCATATTTATCACGTTTCGGCCATTGTACGCTCAGGCCTTCTTCAGGTGGTTGGAATTTCGAACTGAACCCTTTATTTCGCTCAAATAGAGTTCAATGTTCCAACCATCTGAAGAAGGCTGGAGTGTACAATGGCCAAAACGTTGTGATAAATATGGCAACAAAGATGAGGACAATTGTCCAAATAATGTAAATAGTGTACATAATACCTCATCTCAAAAATATAGCTAGTTACTGAAAGTCAGATCATTTGCCAACTTGCAATGCTAATGTTGATTACAGCCTAAATAATAACCCTTCAATTTTGAAAGTGAACACAGATAAGATGGAAATCATGAATATCATTGTACATGTTCATATCAAAAAACTAAAAAGCAATATAGTCTAGTAAGAAACCTAAGTTTAGAATTTAAGCATATAGAAAAAATAACCTTAGAAGACAACACTATTTCACAATTTGATATAAGATTATACTCTAAAAACATTAGGATGACACTTATTGTGGAACAATAGTTAGCAAGTTACTCTTGTAGGGTCAATCTTGAATAATTGCCCCAAACTTTTAGTCTTGTGCCAGATTCTACAAAGTTTATCATAAGTGCTTACCATAGTAGGATGGTTAGCATGCTTTTCACCCCATTTATTTTTAGTATCATGTTTGATCCTCAAGGCAATCCACTACAGTAGCCTTGTTCCAGACTAAAGTAAGAAAATAATTATTAGATGGTAAGAGCCAGTTTTGGTGGGATAAATTAAATAATTGTTTTTTTTTGCACAAGTGCCAGTGAGGGGTTGGTGTTACAACCCAGGAAAAATGTCCTTCTGCAGTCATACGCTAAACTTAGTAAATATCAACTAAAATAAATCACAGCAAAAACAGAAAAGTGAAACTATTCATAATAATTTAAAGAATTCCCTTCAACAACATAAGACACTAATCTGCAAAACGAAACTTCTTAAAAAAAAGAAAAAAAAAAAAAAAAAAAAAATCATAGGCTCTATTGATGGTTTGAGACAAAATACAATTGGACACTTCCCTAGGAGAGCATGTGAAGGCTGCTACAAATAATCTAATGTAAATGTTGACATTTTGTGCATAAACTATATTGGATTCAAATATATACTGACAGAAGGAAAGTAGCTAGGAGACCACCATTATCTCTAGTAGTGGCAAATGTATACTTCAAAAGATATTACTATAGAAATGTCACCACTAAAGTGAACAATGTGGCTTAGATCCATAGATCATCATCTGGCTCCATTAGGAATATGTTCAAGCAGTAAGACCAACAAAGAAGAAAGCAGAACAACCAGGCTTCACGAATGTTCGAATAACTTGCACAGAGTATATGTAGAAGACATCAACAAACCAACATTCATTAGAGAATAGGTGAGCTCACTATTCATACAACATCAAGAAAGAGATCATCTGCCGCTTATAACATTTAGCCAAAGTGGTAATCTAAATGTATACAAATAGGAAATGGTCAGCATTAAGAATACCCTTCAAAATAACAACTGTCCTATAAGTATAACATCAGCTTCTTTGAGCAGGAATAGAAGAGTTGAGAACAATAATAAAAAAAATCTACCATATTCTATCTACAATGCATAAGTAGTACATCTGAAAAAATTCAAAACATATGCAGTCTACATAACAACAGGATAATATTCAAAAGTAGTTCAACCTTTTGGTGATAGCTTTCCAGCCACCCCTTGAAAGAGAACATGAACAAAAATTTTGTGTATTCTATCTTATGCAGTTGTAGCAAGAAATACAAAGATGAAATCAGCTACCCCAAAGAAGTAAGAGTGGAGGAAAACCAAAAAGCTGTAGTCTGGTCCCCTAATCATGGAAAAAATAGAAAAACAAAACTTCTAAGGATTGAATAGTGTTGAGTTCAAAATTCCAAGAAGGTTACTTAAGAAGGCCAAAGAGTAAAACATCTGAAACTTTGTGAACATAACAAAATTAGCGAGATCTTCCAAATGGAAAGGTATATAATAATAATAATTCCGTATCTAAAAGAATTCTGAAATAAAATGATAAATTTTATAACTAACCTCTACCCTCTTTGCAGACTCAGTTTCCAACTACTTACACCCAGTCATAAAATCCCAGGTAAAATATATGCCTATTACTTTGATAAATCCTCCACAAACACACCAACTGATTTATAAGGGAAACTTTCATTTCAATGAATGAAATACCAGATAAAAAAATTCAAAGTAATTCAAAGTTTTTATTGTAGTGTCTGAAAAATTTATTTCAAATCAACTTTGTAGAAAAATCACATGTTAGCAGATGTATTGATAGTAGAGTAACAAAAAGGCTATTAAATTTTGTAACATATCTTTACAAGATAATTGAAAGTATGGCTTATTTAAATACTTTTTTGTTTAAGAGTAAAAAATATAACTGAAACTCCTAGCAATATTTACAAATTATTTCATCATACCATTTTTCCTCTTAAAACAAAAGGTTATAAGTAAACATTTTATAAATCAAATGCAATTAATTTATTTGAATATAAATAAACTATTAAACATTCAATAGGTAAAAATCAGCTACCACTTATAAAATAGAAACACTATCAGGAAAAAGGTTTCACCTGAATTAAAAATTTCAAAATTTAAGTAATTCTACCCACAGCAAACAAATAGGTAAAAAATAATATACTTAGTAAATACCAGCAATTTAAAAAAAAAAATGAAATTAAAAAATAACATGACATGAAAAACTATCTCTTTTTTAATTATGAAAATAAAATAAGTATATGCAATAAAGATTATAATTTTCCAACTTGACACACTTTTCATGGGACATAAAATAAATATAAGCAATGTAATTTAAAATGATCATCATTTCCAATGACCAACTAATTAAAAAAAATATATATATATATATATATATATATATATATATATCTCCTTCAGTAAGGATTATTCACGATTTTTCAACAAGATTCAATATACAGCAAAAAAGACTTTCCTATAAGGTTAAAGAAGAGGACTAGGAAATATATGCAAAAGATATGACACAGTATTGGATGACAAATCTTGAGTCTAGAAAGAACAAAGCTTGACTACTTACCGTATTTGAGACGGACTGTAGTGTCTTGGTGAGTCCGTTGATAACCAATGAAAATTTGTAACGGCTGACATTGATAAGGCATTCCTTGTTCTGCTCCACGTTCTGGATTGATTGATTTGTGTGTTGGCCTCTCTTCACAGGTAACTAGGGAAAAAAAGAACAGAAATAAATCAACTGTTCATAAAAGGATATGAAGAACAAAAAAAAAAAAAAAAATAATATAGTTCTGCTTTTAGTAGAATTTTAGTAGAATGAATAAAATCTGATGTTCTCATCAAGCACAAATAAAAAGTAGTATTTTTTTTTAATTCGTTACATCTAAAAATCTTCATTGATCTTCAATTGATAATGCTTTTATGGGAAAGAATTTAAAGAAAGATTTAAAAGTAATGGAATCATTTTAAAGAATAATATTTTGTATTTTACCAGGGAATTTACCTGAAGGCTGAGCTTCAGTATTTCATTAATAAGAAATTTTTCAAAACTGAAAATCTTAAGAAAAATTTAAACGACTTCATTGCTAATTATCTCACTTAACATAAAGTGATATAACCTAGTTTTTAAATTAACTATTCACTAAGTATCTTTGTTTACCTCATTTCAGCAAAACAAAATAATATTCACTAAAATATACCAACTGTTCAGGAAGAAAGTTAGAAAGTTGATTTCTAGCAAGATGCAACAAATCCATAAAATACAAATCATGCAATGATTATATCAGTTGTAGTTTGAAGCTTATATGTAAGAAACAGAATTTCAAAGTTTCAGTAACTTATGTATTAATTTGACTGTAAAAACTAAAACTATATTAAAATGATATAATATCAAGTTAAATATGTTAGAACTGATTAAAGTACAATATATTCATGCAATTTTTATCCTCCAAATGCTTCTTCAAATTTTTAATCATTTTACAAAGCAATGAAATCTAACACAAAAACAAAAATTATATGTATTATAGAAGTCATCAGAATATGGAGCAAGTTTTAAAACATTTGTATAAAGACGCCTTTAAATGTGTCACAACCATAAAATATGGATTCTATCAGTCAAATATAGAAAAAAAGACAATTTCAGCATAGAAAAATATCATTTTATCAATCACAATGACTGAAGTTAATTTTTTTTTAAAGATTTTTCTATAAGTTAAACAAAAAATAAAGAACTTTAAAGCTTACTAAATGTGATGTAAAGATAAAAACAGAAACAATAATGAATATACAATAAAGATGAGGCTACAAATCCACATCTTCTATATGCTGTGACCCTTCAAGACGTGGGTACTCCACAACTTCCTGTCCTTTATAGCTCTGAGTAAGATTTGTCTCCCAGTCCTTGTTTTGCCAAAACAAGATTTTCGGTAGGTTAATCACTGCTTTCTTCTGTCCCTTTTGCCTTCAATATGTCTTGTGAATTCTCCAAGCTCTTTCCTTATAGGCCCTAGAAATTTCAACTCTTTCTAATTCTGAATAGGAGTATCCTTTTTATTTTCATTTTCCTTAAAACTTCCTCATCACTCACATTTTCAAATCCATAGTATTCTCAGCATCCTTCTGTAGAACCACATTTCTGTTGCCTTGTCCCTTGTTCATCTTAATTGTCCAGCATTCACTGCCACATAGGAGGACCGATATTACATAACAGTTTTGCACTCTTTTCTTATGTTTCTAATGAAATTTTTGTTTCTTAATACTTTGCTCAACTTTCAAAAGGCATCTTTCTCTATTCTGACATCTCTAATTCATAGTTTGCATCTTGGGCTGTTCCATTTGCTGACAACCATACATTGTCTTTTTACATTGATGTTTAGTCCTTTCTTCTCACTTTCTTTTGTTACAAATCCAAATAATTCATTGAATAATAAGAGATAGTGGTTAGAAAGAAAAAGCTAACATTAAATAAAGGAAATATCTATTTACAAAGAATTGTAAAATGGCATCCCTGATAGTTAAAACGATAAAATATTGTTTAAAATAATCTAAAAAATTAAGAAAAATGTTAATATTACAATAAAGTCAAAATCTATTCCCATTCAGTAATTGCAAGCAGTTTATAAGAACTTGTCTTCCTAACAGTAAAAAAAAAAAAAATCTGACAAAATTTGGTATTTTAAAAATTAAGTATTAACATTTTTTTCATTTCTATTTCTCTCATCATCAGGTGATAAAGTGTGGAATAATCAATTGAACATCACACTTCTATCAAGTTAATGAAGAAGTAATCATTGAAAAGTTCAAGTTAGTGGACTCAGATAACTTACACATCAACCTAACTTTTTTAAGACTGTCAATTTGATGCAAAAACCACAAGAAAAATAAGATAAATGCAAAAATTGTGTAGATGCAAGGATAATGGTCAATTACCTTAAGATTATAATCAAAATTGTACTCTGACTAGGAATGTGTTTCCATTTTGCTTTTTGTTGAATCACATCATTAAATGAAAAGCATCAATGACAGACAAAAGGATGAATGAATGAAAAAAAAAAAAAAAAAAAAAAAATGAATGAAGCAGTATTAACAGTCAAGTAACATGAAAAAAAAAATCTAAAATACCAGACTAGCAACCAATCTTAGCTACTGAATCTGATGATAACCTTGACAACCCAAACTAATATGGCTGATCATTTTAATTCTGGGTTGAATCGTTTCTGACTAACTCATCACACATGGAGGAAAAACATCCCCTACTCTGCTCATGTAACTAATTAGTCAATATTATGAAAAGGTACCTTGTATAGTAAAAGGAGAAGAGAGGCAATACATAAGTTTAGTGATGTTCTAAATAAATTGTTCCACTGTCCAAACTCCAATCAGGACTTGAAGTTTTTATAAGGACAAATCCTAGCCACCCCGGCTAGGATTTGTCCTTATAAAAACTTTATTTCATCTCATCAAATATAAAAGTGATTTTTAAGCAATATCAAGTAAAATAAAAATGCTCAAAGTAAATAAACTCACTGTATGTTGACATTTGCCCAAAAATGTTCTATTAAATGAGATTTCTTAAAATTTTGAAACAAGATTTAAAATTCCTCAAAGTTTTTTCATTAAACAAGAAAAAACTTCAAGCAAAACACTAAAAAATAATTTCAATTTCTATACTCTCTCTTATTTTATTATATTTTTTGTAAATGGGGTTTAATTTTTATAAAACTTAATATGTTAGCAAAAAACTATTTCATTACTTTTAGTTAACTTAAATCAAAGAGTCACTTTACATAAAAACCTTCACATCTGTATGGAGATTCGATCCTAAATAACATATGTAAACAAAAATTCCAATCTTCAAAGTGTTTTTTTTTCTCTGAAAGTGACCTAAATGCAACTTTACTGAAGATGCTTTTCTTTTGACTTCAATTTACAAAAACAACACATAATTGTCTGTGAACAGGTAATCATTTATAAGGAACTAAAGTTTGATATCGTCTCCAATAGTGGGATTAAAGTACATATCAATCAGATCAAATATGCTAATTTTGAAAAACCTTTGAAATTGCTAAACCATGCTTTGTGGTCAGCCTACCATCATTTTATAGCATAATATACTCTTTGCCCAAAGTTACACCCATCTACTCATAATTATATTGAAGTCTATTTTTAGTCACTTAGCAAGACCAAAAAGATACTGTCAAAAACTGGAAATTACAAATCTAATAAGAGCTTTACTTTTAAAAAGTAATCATCTGGTAGCTTACTAAGTCTAAATGGCAAAAAAAAATTGCTTTGCAAAATGAATTTAGTTTTTTGACAAAATTCTTCCTGAATAAGAGATCAATATTTGCAAAAATTATGTCAGCACATCAATGATAATGCATAAAAGAAAGTGAAAACTGCATTTTACACATTTTCTCATTAATTCTGTAATAGTTCCATTAGACAACTGTAACCAAACTAATTGCCTTAATATGTAATTTTTTTAAAAATTAAAAAGGTTGTGATTAAACAACCTGTAAATACTCTTGATTAATAAATGAAAAATTATCTTTGAGAAAAGATAATTTTAAAGTAACTTCTTAAAAAAACAATGTCAGGTGATATTATTTCTATGAATGGGTGTGTCTACTATACAAATTGAGAGGTAGGGAGGAGAGAGAGACAGGCAATTCATAGCTAAGGAATAAAAGTCAGTATGAGGAAAGCAACATTGATATTACAGCAGGATATTACAGCTGGCAAAGAAAACTGAGCAAGCAAGCAACTGGTGCTTATTTCCTTACAATCAAGAGCTTAGTGGCCTGCCTGCCTGCCTGACAGGAAGTGTTCTACCATTACCATCTAACATCTTCCAGCAGAGCTCTACACCAATATAACTGAAATCAGCAGTCCTAAGAATCCAATGTAATGGTTGGCAAACTGATCTTCAAAAATACACATGTAGCAAAAAACACATTTTTACCAATTATTTCAATTTTCCATAGAATATTCTATGATATAAAACAAATTATTGGAATCAACAAGGTCTTACAACTTGAAAATTTAAATAACACTACATGAATATTAAACACTGATTCTGTACTGATGTCCTTAATGGACAAAGATATTTGAACAACAGATAATTTTATAACTATATGAATTTATATTATCACCCTATCCTAAATAAAATTTTATTTAGTTAACTAGAAAAGACAGGCTTATTGACAAATTTAGGCTAGAAATCTTTTCACATCAAATATGAGCTAACAGATTTATCATATTTTTTTTTTATCCCAGCATGGATATTTTTCATAAAAGAATTAATACAAAAATCAATTTTTTGGTTCAGAGTTTTAACACAATAAGTTACAAACATTATCAGAATTTTTTCAATGATAACCAAAAGGAATCCTAATTAATATTGAAAAATATAAGAAACAGAATATGTAAGAAAAATACTTATCTTAAATTTAAATATATTATTAATTGAATATTCAAGAAATAAATTTACTTATGTATTTCTTAGAAAAACCTTGTTAAAAATTGTTTTAAAACTGGATTTTTTTTTAATTTGTTAAGCAGAAAATGCTCTAAAATATATTGATTACTAGCTTAAAAGCCGCCCTATCAGGTGGCATTTAAGCTAGTTCCAGTGGAGGACTCTTGGTTGGGCCTTCATCACAATAGGTAAGGAGGAGTAGATGCAATAGGCAACAATAAACTACAGAA